CAAAACGGAACGGCATCAGAACCGGACCAAACCGGCTTGGACCAGATGTGAACTGGAAGAAACCCGGTTAGAACCAGGTTCCGATCAGGTGATTGATCAGATTACATTTCTGTCTGTGACTCCAGATTCAGAACCTGCTTCACTTTCTCTCCGACTGTTCCTTCCGTCGGGCTCAGATTTGGACCCGTCATCAGGGAAAGAGGTCAAAGGGTCATCTGGCAAACAGGAAGAGGCCTGCCAGCCTATTTCCTGTGTGGTTACCGGTTGCCATGGTGATAGCATATCCGGTTACCTGCGGTTCTGATCGGATCATCCGGCCCAGATGAACAGGAAGCACTGCAGCAGCTGGTTCTGACCCACACAGAACCCAGCAGAACCAATCAGAACCGAGCAGGGTTCTGCAACCGGTTAAAAACCAGAACCAGAACCAGGACCAGGACCAGAATCAGGACCAGGACCAGGACAAGGACCCGAACCAGCACCAGCACCAACCCAAACAGCAGAATGGTTTGCTGCACTTCCTCCCCAGCTGAGCATCGGGTGGGCGGGGCTTACTGCTCACTTCCTTTTTCCACAGGAAGGAGAAAAAGACGAGCTGAAAATAAATATGATAAAGTCGGCCGGTTTCAGAATCAGAACCGAGTGATCCAAAAGCAGCTTCAGGGAAGCTAAAGCCTTCAGAACCTCCAGAACCAGAACCAGACCCAGAACCAGGACCAGAACCAGACCCAGAACCAGGACCAGAACCAGAACCAGGACCAGAACCAGAACCAGAACCAGAACCAGAACCAGAACCAGAAACAGAACCATCAGCCAGACAGTTTCCCTCCATTGGTTGGTTGTAGGATTGTTGTAGAGTTCTAGAAGAGCGTCACATCACTGGGCTGATGGTTCTGTTGGTTCTGTTGGTTCTGGTGGTTCTGCTGGTTCTGTTGGTTCTGCTGGTTCTGTTGGTTCTGCTGGTTCTGTTGGTTCTGCTGGTTCTGCTGGTTCTGTTGGTGCTATTGGTTCTGGTGGTTCTGGTCCGGTTTTCCCTCACAGCTCCTGTTTTAAAGGTTTTTAAATTACAGGACGTCTTTTAGCGGTGATCTATTTATTTATTATATTTATTATATTTATGATATTTATTCTATTTATTATATTTATTCTATTTATGATATTTATTATATTTATGATATTTATTATATTTATGATATTTATTATATTTATGATATTTATTATATTTCACCTTTTGAGAGTTTTTAATGTGTGGATATGAATTGATGAGGGATTAATAAAGTTTTTCTATTCTATAATATAGAATTTTATATTTCATGACATTTATTTCTTTATTTTGCTCTTGAATCTTTTTTAAGAAACAAACTCTTCATCGGAGTCTTCCTCGCTGAACAGATTGTTGCCATGGTTACAGAACCTGAGTTCTTCCTGTTCAGCAGACTCAGAACCGGGTCACACAGTGTTTCCTTCCACTCAACTTTCCATAAAGAAGTTGCACAGGCTTCCTTAGAAACAGCCAGTGGCTGTGTGCTTGTCAGAGCCAGAACCGGAACCGGAACCAGAACCGGAACCAGAACCGGAACCAGAACTCTCTTGGTGAATGAAGTGATCTGGGTTTTATTGAAAGCTTCAATGTTGTTCCTGGGGTGGTTCTAGACTCCGGCCCGTCTCTGGCCGGTTCCGGCCCGTCTCTGGCCGGTTCCGGCCCGTCTCTGGCCGGTTTCAGCAGCAGGCTGAAAGCCGAAGCTCTGAGGCTCCAAATATCTGCCTCTATTTTTATCTGCAGCAGAGAAGAGAGAAGCAGCTGCTGCCGGATGACAGAGCAGAACCAGAACCAGAACTGGATCAGAACCCAACCCGTTCAGGAGAACCAGAGCAGAACTGCTAGCCAACAGAATCACTACTCTGCTGGGTGGTGCTGGTTCTGATCCACTGATCCACAGAAACACAGAACAACAACATGGCCGCTGGGGATGGATGCTGGTTGGATGCTGGGTGGATGGATGCTGGCCCCAGTGCATGCTGGGATTTGGTGTCCTCTATGATCTCATGGATTCTTCCAGATAAATTCATCCTGAAATGGGCGGTACCGGTCAGACTGATTAACGATAATCAGTCTGACCAACTGGATCCCAATGGATCCAGTTGGTCAGACTGATTAACTATAATGGATGGATCCAGTTGGTCAGACTGAGGCTGCCTCTATTTTGGTTCTGGTCCAGCAGGACCAGAATCGGGTTTGTTATGGAAGCATCAGTGTTTCGGTTCCTTCAGGGACAGACATGAGTCGACACGTCCTGGAAGCTCCAGCAGCCAAAACAAATCCAGAGTCGGTCACATGACTCCCAGGAGGGCTGCGATTGGAAGAAAACCTTCAGGAATCTGGATCACCTGGTTTAGGTTCTGCTGGTCCAAATGATGATGATTCCTCTGATCAGATTCATGGTTCTTCACATCAGGAGAAGAGGAACTCCTGGGAACCTTAACCCTCTGCTTCATGTGCATTAATAATTCATAACAAACTCCTGATGTCAGGAGCAGAGATCTCACCTGCTTCTCCATGATGCAGCTCCTCCATCATCCAACCACCCATCTAACCATCATCCATCATCAGCAGCATGCGGGGCAGCATGCATGAAAACAGGCCTAAAACTCATGCAGCAGCCGGGTTCCATCATCGGACAGCCCATGGTGAAGGTCTGGCCAGGCTCTGGAGCATCTTTCCCGGTCACAGCGAGTCGGTCAGAGGCCCTGACAAGCTCCGGTACCACCGAAACGAACAGGTTAAGGAGAACGGTTACGGTACCAGCAGAACATTGGAACCGGATTAGTTTTGTTCTGCTGTTTTTAGCAATAATGTTTAAAACTATTGTTATTAATAAATAATAATAACAATAATCAGTCTGGCGGCGCTAAGGATCATTCAACCCGGATAAAACCCGAACCCATCCCTCTGGTACCGAACTGCGGCAGGTCCGAACATCACTGAAAACAAGCCCAGGGAACTGTCCGACAATAGGCGCATCGCGGTGTCCGTTACCCTCCGAAGCAGTTAGGGGCTAACTGGGAGCTGGACTGGGTCCGGCCCGGTTCGATTCTGAGCGGCACCGGGTCAGCCGGAGGCGGGAGTACCGTACCTGGACTTGTTAGCTTGTTCGACCCGCAGGTGAGAGGAGGGAGGATCATGGTCAGGTCCATGCCAGCCAGGTTCCGTCCATGTTAGCAGCTCTGATCCGAGAGGCGCAGGAGAAGAAGAGAAAGAGGAAGAGGGACGCAACACGGCACACTGCTTCCGGAAGAGACCTTCAGAATAAGAGGACGGACGCCTCACCTGCAGTTAATCACATTTCCAATTGTTGTTGATGTCATTTACATTCCGTTCATCCATCCATCATCCATCCATCCATCATCCATCATCCATCCATCCGTTCATTGTAGCAGGTTGGATGGATGGATGATGGATGGATGGATGATGGATGGATGGATGGATGATGGATGGATGAATGATGGATGGATGATGATGGATGGATGATGGATGGATGGATGATGGATGGATGATGGAACATCAGCTTTAAACATCTCTGTGCTTTCATTGGTTGATTAATCTTCCAACTGTTTGTCTAATAAATAATCTATAAATCCATCAGACTTCCTTCAGGGTGTTTCTCTTGAGTTTGAGATTAGTGGTACTTTTACTTTGAAGCCTCGCAGCACTGTTTCCGGTTCAGATGCGGTCACATTGACGCAGCTGTCAGAAGGCGAAAGATGAATTTATTAACCCACTGCAGAACCGTCCCCTCCATCTGGACCAGAACCAGATCCGACCCAGCAGGGAGTTTCACATGGAAAGATCCAGAACTGATGGCAGAACACAACAGAACCGTTCTGGTACAGGTCCGCCATGTATAATCTGCTGTTTCCTCTTCCAGAATCAGACTGGATCCTGGTACCAGAACCAAGTACCTGAACCGCCCTCTGGTTCTGTCTCCTCCAGATGAACCGGTTCTTCAATCAGATGTGTGGAGAACGTTGTGAATATTTCTGAAATTTATCAGGCCTGTTGCTGCAGAAAAATAGAGGAAGCGGTAAAACCAGCACTTCCTGTTGCCTTTGCACTGACAATCATCAGTTCTGCTTCAACTTCAAGGTTATTCAAGGTCACAGTGGGGAGGGCAGACCTGAAGCTAAAAGCTCAACACTTTTATTTTTAATTGATTGTAAAAGTAAACAATAAAATGGCTTACATTAGATGTAGTTTCGTCTGGAGAATACGGGGCCCCTATTGACCCCTGATGGCCCCCATGTAGAACCGCCCATGGCCTGACTCAAAAGTGAGGCTTTTCTTTCTTGTTTATAAAAACTGGTGATAATTTTTTATGTAAATGTTTCAGCTAAAGAAGCTATTAGCAGATTAATACAGCAACAATAACAGACTGTAGGTGGCGCTGTTACAGAGTTCCTCAGTAAATCGTGCTGAAGCTGTTGCTTGGACCTGCAATGACCATATATGGGCGATGACATCACGGGGAGAAGTTCAGAGTGGAGAGGCTTCAAATGTCTCTTATTGGTGAGGTTTTGTTTAAAATATTTTTAAAGATAATTTCGATTCATATTTCTTCATTCTGGACAAAATTATTTTCATTTCAAAGTTTTCATTCACATAAAACTTTTAATTTTTCATAAAGTTCTGGTGCCTGCTGCAAAAATATCCCCACCGCACAATGCTGCCTCCACCATGTTTGACTGTGGGAATATGTTAATTTCCTCCTACCTGAGCTGTGGATACCTGCAGCTCCTCCATAGTCGCCATGGTAATGCTCTCCTACAGGCTGACAGTCTAATGGACGAACAGGTCAGTTAATACAGGGGTGTGAATACTTTTGTAAGAGACTGCAGGTTAAAGTTATAATTAAGTGATTATAATCATTTTAATGTTTGTTGAAGAGAAAATCAGATGAAAGAGAACGTAGCGCACGTGAGAAACGGACAGCAGGGGGCAGCAGTTCCGCAGGTTGCTTTATTTTCTGTAAAATTGAGTCATGACAATCCGCCTTCAGAAACGGCTTCTGCTGACGTCAGAAGCACTTCCGGGTTAAAACATTTACTATTTCCCTGGTTATTAATATTATCAATAAACTCCAATAAAAACACTTGAATACAAACATAATCAGCTTTTCCTCTAAAACTATAAACAGCACAAAGGATGTGAGAAATTCATAAACATCAGTAGAAACATTATGAAATATGGCCTCAGTCTCAAACACACATCAGGTTCATAGAACCGTTTTGTTCGTGGTTCTGTCCACATCCAGTTTGTTCGATCATTAAAGAATCGAGTCCTGTTAACAAGTGGATCATTTTCAGGTCCGGTTCCGATTCTGACCAGAAGTCTGCCGAGTGAGCGGAAAAAAGACCGAATCCTCCGACGCGTTCAGAACGTTCCGAGTTATTCTAACTCAACAATAAGAGAAAATGGGATTTATATATTTTTACCATGTTACACAGTTAGTTTCAAACTTTATTTATTTAGCAAGCTCGCTAAAAATTTTCCTTCATACTAAATATTTAGTTATCAAGATGAACATCTGAATCCAAATTAAATATTTATAAAATATGTAGTTTTGAAGCTAAACGTTTAGATTGAAACTTTAATTAAACTATTAAATGAACGTTTTAAACAAAAACATGAGCCGTTTTAAAGTCAAACGGATCCTCGGCAGGTCCTGACGGCCCAGCTTTTAATTTGATAGTCCACTTCCGCTCATTTGTGTATTAGCTAGCGCAGAGCTAACTGTTCGGTTTCTACATTAAGTTCCAGAGCCGGGGGCCCAAAGTGGGCCCTGGAGGGCCGACATTCTGCGGGACGGGTTCCGGTTCGGCTCCCTGACACGCTGCTTTTGAGTGTTAAAATTCTCAACAGTAACTGCAGGTTCTGGTTTCACTTCGTTCTGATCAACAACCGAATTTTAACGGAACCGACCTGCAGCAGCCCGCTCTGACCTGCAGGGGGCAGCGCTGCAGTCTGAACCGGATGCTTTCCACATGCCGGACAGTCAGTCGGAACCGGTCACTGATCCGTTCTGCCTCCAGAACCTTCCAGCTGTGTTCCATGAACAGGAACCCGCTGGACCGACTTCCTGTTCGCAGCTGAACGGTTCTGATTAATCAGTAGAAAATCCAAATTAATCTGGACCCGGCTGGCCTGGACCCTCGAAGCAGAACCTTGCGGCCGTGTTTCTGGAATATGACAGGGAAAATCTGATGTTTCATGATTTTGTGGTGGAACAGCAGAACCACGGATCGGACCGGGCCGAGTCAGATTCTCGGACAGAAGAAGTTTATTCGACTCTCATATTAGAATCTTTGTACACATTTCAAATCTTAATAAAATACAAACTTATTTACACGATACAGAAAAAATATGGCTGAAAATTGGACGCAGCAGCAGGCAGGGGGCGTGGCTAAGCGCTGTCCATCACAGTGAGCGGGCGGGGCTAAAGGGTTCGTCCCACCAATCAGGAGACGTCTTGCTTAAAGACTTTGGGCAGAAATAAAAATATAAAAATGTTAAATATTTTTACTTTTTTTCTTCAAAGTGCAAAAATCTATTTTTCATCTTTCTGTAAAAATCATTTCAGGGCTTTTCTGGACCCGGATCAGAGAGGAGGAGCCGCTGGAGGCAGCAGAGACCCGGTCCGGTTTCGACCAGGTCCGGTTCTGGAGGTGTCTGTTCTCCCAGGTAGTGCAGCTTCGGACCTGCTGGGTTCTGGAGGACCACAGAGGTTCTGATCACATGAAATGCGCTGATATTTTTCAGAACCGGATCCTCTTGAGCGAACCGGTTCTGATTCGGTCTTCCTGTCCTGGTGGATCGGGCTTTTCTTTGGACTTTGGCGCCTCAGAGGAACTGTGCTGCATTCAGGCTCCACTTCAGAAAATCTGAACTCTGAGATGATGTTTGACACAAAATGAACCGGAGTTCTGGGTCAGTGGGTCCAGAACCACAGACATGCAGACCAGCTGGTTCCGGTTCTGCTTCCTGGTCTCACCAGTCCGGTTCAGGATCTCCTCTGGAATAATAAAGCAGGAAAAGTTCTGCAAGCAGACCGGATCGGGTCCGAAGTGGTTCCGAGCGATTCATTGACCCAAAGTGGTACCGGTTCTGGTACTAGTTCTGCTTCCATGTAACAAAGTTCCTCCCAGCGCTGCTGGTTTAGTTTTTTTTTACATTTCCTCTCCTGCATCTTGGGTCCAAATGGACCAGAACCAGAACCAGTTTCCAGGGAAAATAAGTATCGTGACCTCTAACCTCAGGTTTTCAGTCTAAGCACTCCATGTGGAGGGACAGGTGTCTGGACCCGGTCCGGTCCGGTTATTTGAGGCGGTCGGAGCGGAAGGAGTCCTCCACGGCCGGGTCGGCCAGCATCAGCTCGCCCTCCAGCAGGTCCAACGCCAGCGGGTCGATGCGCAGCGGCTCGTCCAGGGAGAAGGCGTCCATCTCGAAGCCGGGGACGTGGGACAGAGCGCTGGTGATCTCCTTGGACAGACCGGGGGGAGAGTCTCCTGCAGGGGGAGGGAACGGGTCAGAACCGGCTCAGAACAACGAGAGGTTCTGGTGGTTCAGGTGAGTACCTGTGAGGATGATGTTGGGGACGTTCTGGTGACCGTCTCCGCCGTTGTAGTTCTGGTTCTGGTGGTTGAGCCGCTGTGGGTCGCCGGGCTCTTGCAGCTCTAGCGCCCCCTGGTTGTTGGACGGGAAATGGTTCTGACCCGGTCCGCTGTGGTTCAGGCCATCAACCGGACACTCAGCCGGGAACTGGAGCAGAGGGAGAGGACCAGTTAACGAGGAAGCAGGGCTGGTGCTGCCCCCAGCTGGTGGAAGGGCAGAACTGCAGCACATGGTGTGGAGAACCAAGCTTCCTGCTTCCTGTTGCAGCAGGAAGCAGGAAGCTTGGTTCTTCCTGCTCTCCTCAGGCCTGCAGGTTCCGCATCAGGTGAGCGGCTGAACAGAGGCTCGTTGAAACAAGCGCAGGCCTGATGAAGACATGAATAAATTCATGGAGAAACCAAGTTTCACCTGCTGGTGTGATTTTCCGGACAGCTGCAGGCTGAGGTACGGATCGTCCAGCAGCGAACTGAACAGTGCGTCCTGCAAGAAGCACATCAGGACGTCAGCAGCTAAACCAGGCTGCTCAACGTGGGGGTCGCGACCCTCGGGGGCGTGGGGGGGAATGGGCCGCGACCCTCGGGAGACCGCAGAACTTTGGAGGAAGATGGGACTGTTTCTGTGTGAGCTTCTGACCCGGTTGGACCCTACCCCGGTTCTGGTACTCACGTTGTAGAAGTCTGTGTTCAGGTTGATGTGCTGCTGCTCCGCCTGCTGGTTCTGGTCCGGTTTGGACCGGTACTGGGAGGACGTCTGGCTGCACGGGTCCAAAGCGCTCTCCGACTTGACGGGCGGGTTCTGCTGCGGTCCCACGGGCCTCTGCAACTGTGGAGCAGCAGAACTGAGTCAGAACCGGGTCAGAACATCAGAAGTCTGCGAGGATCCTGACGTACCGGTCCAAACTGCTGCAGGTGCTGGTTCCGGAGGTTCTGCAGGTGCAGCTGCTGCTGATTGGTTCTGGGCTGCTGGAGGCGGAGCATCTGGTGGTTCTGACCCACAGACGGGTTCTGCTGGCCCGGCTGGGTGAGCGGGTACGGAGGGAGGCGGCTGGTGTCCAACGGGACGCCCTGCGGGGTCACAGGAAGTGACATCAGTGGGTGATCAGAGGAACTGGATGCGCATCCATCGTCATCCGCCCGGCTGCAGGTGAGCTGGTTACCTGGGAGATGGAGGACAGGGTGGGGGACATGGTGGGGGAGAACTGTTTGGGGTGGATCCTCCGGGTCTCCCCCGCCATCGGCAGGATGAGCGGCGACAGAGGGCCCCGTCTCCGTGGCGACGTGCTGAGCAACGCCTGGCCCTGCCCCGCCAACATCACCGAGTAGGGGGAGGAGCCAGATCCGGCCACGCCCCCTCCGCCGCCACTGTACCCGCCGGACTGGAGGGAGGAGTTACTGAGGGACGAGTGCAGCGATTGGCTGCTGAGGGAGGACGGCAGGGAGGGGGAGGAGCTGAGCGACGACTGCAGAGACGGGTTGCTTAGCGACGAGTGGAGGGAGGCGGAGCTTAGAGAGCTGGAGAAGGAGTGGCTGCTGAGGGACGACTGGATGTTGGGGTTGCTTAACGACGACTGCAGGTTGGGGTGACTGAGCGCGCTCTGTAGAGACGCCAGGAGACCTGAGACCGACAGACAGGAAGTAGAAAAAAAATCATTTCAGGAAGTAGAAGTTACAGTGGCTGCAAAGCAAGCCCACATCATCACTGCTACACCTCCGTGCTTCAACTCGTCTGTTTCCAGAGAGGCTTCCGTGTGTCATGACCTTGAAGTCTTTGTCTCTCTGAGATTGATGGACTGTCTGGAAATCACCTTTGACCCCCTTTGGCAGCACAGGTCAGATCCAGAACCGATTTCTAAATTGACAGAGAGCAGACAACAGGTGGCGCTGCAGACACCTGCAGCTCCTCTCATCTCCACATTTGACCTTTGACCTCCCACCGGCTGTGCTCTGAACATTTGCGATGGTAATCAGAGGCGCTTCCTGTCTGCAGGTGCAGTCTGCTGCTGCAGCTTCCTGCCCGCGGCTGCTGCAGCCACCAAACTCGCCGACGTTTTCCGACTGCAGAGGAAGAACGAACCCGCCGCCGTGTGAATCCGGGGGTTAAATTTAGAGCGCAGCTCGCCGACCTTGGAGATCAACAAGTGCAGAAACGTTTACTCACAGATCGGGGTCACTTAGACCCAAACAGACCAAATGCACGGCGGTGGCAGCATCATGGCTTCTGCAGACCACTTCTCTTTATCCAGAACTCCATCCAGCTTCACTGAACCCACACCTCCAGAACGTACAGTCATGCCCAGAATTATTCATACGCCTGTTGTTTTTATTTATTCACATTTGTTTACTTACTTAGTGTGTCTGAAAAATTTACATTCAACGTTACATAACAAAACTTTTGCTTGGGAGCTCTTTCTCTACTTGACCTTTGACCTGTTCTTTGGTCTTTAGTCTTGAATATTGTGCTGGCTGAAGTCTCAAACCATGTGTCGGATTTCCCATAATGTAAATTTCTCCTGTTATTCCATGCCTCTTGCCCAGGGGGCGCCACCTTCCCCGTCTCCTCTGGGATGTTCGTTGCCTTTTTTCCGAGACCGACCAGTTTCAGGACAGCTCCAAACGTGAGAATGCTCGGCCTTCACTGACCCCACTTCCTCCAACGTCCCGTATTTATGCTCTGATAGGCATGATGAAAAATTGTGTTGGCTTTTTCCATGTGAACTCTGATGCCTTTTCCACATATGGAACCAATCTTCCCCTGTAATCGTCATGCTAAGCTCTGATTCCCACTTTTATATAACTAGTTGAATGTTTTTACTCATCATCAGGTTTTGATAGAGTAGAAATGAATGAATTTATCACCATCTGAATCCAGATTTCTGTCCTGACCTGGCAGTTTTACAGTGGTTTTGGGTTAGCTTCCACTGCAGGTTTAGCATTAGCTCCTGATCATTGCAATAGTTGAAGAGAAGCTTGGGGTAATTAGCAATACCCTACGCCAGGGGTGTCAAACTCCAGTCCTCCAGGTGTCCTGCAGCTTTTCGATGTGCCTCAGGCACAAAACACAGGAATGAAACGGCTTCATTCCCTCCTCCTGGTTCTCCAGAGCCTTAATGACCTCATTATTCTATTCAGGTGCAGCAGAGGCTCATCTAAAGGTTGCAGGACAGCGGGCCTGCAGGACTGGATGTTGACACTCGGCCCTACGCCAACATCTTAAAGTATCTATCATTAGCTTGTGCTATGTTTTTATGTGTTTAGCGGTAGCTTTCTCTAATGTCTTTTAAAGTTTGCTGGAAAGAAATTAATGTATTAATTACTTATGTGTTAAATATTTTAGCGTTAGCTTCAGGTCATGCGGTAGTTTAGCACTAGCTTACATCATTTTTTAAAAGCATCTAGCAATAGCCAAAGCTTTTATGTTTAGCAGTTCTGTCACTTGTTGATGTAATTAGCTATGAAGTGCTAGTTTCTGCTCATTTTTGTTATTCTAAAACTAAGAGGAATGGAAATAAAACTGTGACTCTTTAACGGAGCCATAAGACAAACGTTGAGGCCCGGTTCTGGTCCGGTTCTGCTGAGGATCTGCTCAGGTTTCGGGTTTCTTCATTTTATTCAGGCCAAAATTCAGCAACAATGAGAATATTTTCACTCCTCTGTGCTGAGATTCAGTGTTTCAAACCTTCAGAGACTTTCACGGTTTGCTTTTGTGACGTTTTATATAAAACCAGAAAAATATTCTTGTTTTGTGTCCAGAAGACATTAGCAGAAGTTAAAGGATGTGATTCCTGACCCGGCGGGTTCTGACCTGGCGCTGGCTGGTGGTAGCTGCCGTTTCCTCCGGCGGCGTTGATACCCAGCTGGGTGAGGGTGGAGGCCAGGTTTCCGGTGCTGCTGCCGCCGCTCAGAGCCGAGGATGCTGGGTAACCGGGCTCGTCCTGGTCCAGCGGCGTGGGCAGCGGCGACGGGAAGTGGAGGCTGGACAGATCGGGCAGCGAGCCGCCGGTGTTGGAGACCTGAGGGACGCCTTGGACCGGCGTGGACGGTTGCTCCGGGGACGTGAAGATGCTAGGACGAGTCGGAAGTCAGTCAGAATCGGATCTGGACCTCTGGAAGAACTACAGATCAGAACCAAGACTTACTTGATGCCTGGAACCTCGCAGGACTTTGGTCGAGACGACGGCAGAGACAGCTGGACGGAAACAGAGATGCAGAAGAAGAAAAGAAGACATAAAACAGAAGAACCTTGTGGTTCATCCAGAACCAATCAGATCCACAAGGAATCTGATTCAGCTGGGTCCGACTACAGAAAAGAACTGAACGGTACCTTCTTGGCATCCCAGGCTTTGAGCAGTTTGTCTTCGTCCAAAACGTTTTCCTCAATGGGAGGAACCGGATACGGGAACACTGCAGGATGGAGGACAGAACCATCAGAACCAGCAGCAGAACCTCTAAACACACAACATTCTGTCACACTGGATCAGAACCAGGGCAAGGTTCCTGTGGTTCTCAGCCAATCGAAGGAGTTTTTGTATCCCACTGCTGGAGCATTTCCTGGTTTCTGTCCAATCAGAGGGCAGAGACACCCCCAGACTGTCCACCCAGTACATCTGGTTCTGGTCAGTTCTGCAAAAACTGGATATGAATTCTGCCAGAAGGTTCTGACCCGACTTCCTGGATTTACCAGCAGACCTATTGGAGAATCACAAAGAGTTTCCAGAAAGTTCGACTCACTTCTTCGGTTCTCTGCGTCGCTCGGCCCTGCAGGGAGAGAGAGAGAGACTTCATCCTACCAGCATCCAACCAGCATCCATCCTGCATCCAACCTGCATCCAACCAGCATCCATCCAGCATCCAACCAGCATCTATCCTGCATCCAACCTGCATCCAACCAGCATCCAACCAGCATCCAACCTGCATCCAACCAGCATCCATCCAGCATCCAACCAGCATCTATCCTGCATCCAACCTACATCCAACCAGCATCCAACCAGCATCCAACCTGCATCCAACCAGCATCCATCCAGCATCCAACCAGCATCAATCCTGCATCCAACCAGCATCCATCCTGCATCCAACCTGCATCCAACCAGCATCCATCCAGCATCCAACCAGCATCTATCCTGCATCCAACCTGCATCCAACCAGCATCCAACCAGCATCCAACCTGCATCCATCCTGCATCCAACCAGCATCCAACCAGCATCCATCCAGCATCCAACCAGCATCCATCCTGCATCCAACCAGCATCCATCCTGCATCCATCCTGCATCCAACCAGCATCCAACCAGCATCCAACCAGCATCCATCCTGCATCCAACCTGCATCCAACCAGCATCCAACCAGCATCCATCCTGCATCCATCCTGCATCCAACCTGCATCCTACCAGCATCCAACCAGCATCCATCCTGCATCCAACCTGCATCCAACCAGCATCCAACCAGCATCCATCCTGCATCCATCCTGCATCCTACCAGCATCCAACCTGCATCCATCCTGCATCCAACCTGCATCCAACCTGCATCCTACCAGCATCCATCCTGCATCCAACCTGCATCCTACCAGCATCCATCCTGCATCCAACCTGCAGCCAACCAGCATCCATCCTGCATCCAACCTGCATCCTACCAGCATCCAACCTGCATCCAACCAGCATCCATCCTGCATCCTACCAGCATCCAACGTGCATCCATCCTGCATCCAACCTGCATCATACCAGCATCCAACCAGCATCCATCCTAAATCCAAACAGCATCCATCCTGCATCCTACCAGCATCCAACCAGCATCCATCCTGCATCCTACCAGCATCCATCCTGCATCCATCCTGCATCCATCCTGCATCCAACCAGCATCCATCCTGCATCCTACCAGCATCCAACCAGCATCCATCCTGCATCCTACCAGCATCCAACCTGCATCCATCCAGCATCCAACCTGCATCCGTCCTGCATCCAACCTGCATCCTACCAGCATCCATCCTGCATCCTACCTGCATCCAACCTGCATCCCACCAGCATCCAACCTGCATCCATCCTGCATCCAACCTGCATCCAACCAGCATCCATCCTGCATCCATCCTGCATCCAACCTGCATCCAACCAGCATCCATCCTGCATCCAACCTGCATCCTACCAGCATCCAACCAGCATCCAACCTGCATCCTACCAGCATCCAACCAGCATCCATCCTGCATCCAATCAGCATCCAACCAGCATCCAACCTGCATCCATCCAGCATCCAACCAGCATCTATCCTGCATCCAACCTGCATCCTACCAGCATCCAACCAGCATCCATCCAGCATCCAACCAGCATCCAACCTGCATCCATCCAGCATCCAACCTGCATCCAACCAGCATCCATCCTGCATCCATCCTGCATCCTACCAGCATCCAACCAGCATCCATCCTGCATCCAACCTGCATTCAACCAGCATCCATCCTGCATCCAACCTGCATCATACCAGCATCCAACCAGCATCCAATCAGCATCCAACCAGCATCCAACCTGCATCCATCCAGCATCCAACCAGCATCTATCCTGCATCCAGCCTGCATCCTACCAGCATCCAACCAGCATCCATCCAGCATCCAACCAGCATCCAACCTGCATCCATCCTGCATCCAACCTGCATCCAACCAGCATCCATCCTGCATCCAACCAGCATCCATCCTGCATCCAACCTGCATCCAACCAGCATCCATCCTGCATCCAACCAGCATCCATCCTGCATCCATCCTGCATCCAACCTGCATCCTACCAGCATCCATCCTGCATCCATCCTGCATCCAACCTGCATCCATCCTGCATCCAACCTGCATCCAACCTGCATCCTACCAGCATCCAACCTGCATCGAACCAGCATCCAACCAGCATCCATCCTGCATCCTACCAGCATCCAACCTGCATCCAACCTGCATCCATCCAGCATCCATCCTGCATCCTACCAGCATCCATCCTGCATCCAACCAGCATCCAACCAGCATCCATCCTGCATCCTACCAGCATCCAACCAGCATCCATCCTGCATCCTACCAGCATCCATCCTGCATCCTACCAGCATCCAACCTGCATCCGTCCTGCATCCAACCTGCATCCTACCAGCATCCATCCTGCATCCTACCTGCATCCAACCTGCATCCTACCAGCATCCAACCTGCATCCATCCTGCATCCAACCTGCATCCTACCAGCATCCATCCTGCATCCTACCAGCATCCAACCAGCATCCATCCTGCATCCAACCAGCATCCATCCTGCATCCAACCTGCATCCTACCAGCATCCAACCAGCATCCATCCTGCATCCAACCTGCATCCTACCAGCATCCAACCAGCATCCATCCTGCATCCAATCAGCATCCAACCAGCATCCAACCTGCATCCATCCAGCATCCAACCAGCATCTATCCTGCATCCAACCAGCATCCAACCTGCATCGAACCAGCATCCAACCAGCATCCATCCTGCATCCTACCAGCATCCAACCTGCATCCAACCTGCATCCATCCAGCATCCATCCTGCATCCTACCAGCATCCATCCTGCATCCAACCAGCATCCAACCAGCATCCATCCTGCATCCTACCAGCATCCAACCAGCATCCATCCTGCATCCTACCAGCATCCATCCTGCATCCTACCAGCATCCAACCTGCATCCGTCCTGCATCCAACCTGCATCCTACCAGCATCCATCCTGCATCCTACCTGCATCCAACCTGCATCCTACCAGCATCCAACCTGCATCCATCCTGCATCCAACCTGCATCCTACCAGCATCCATCCTGCATCCTACCAGCATCCAACCAGCATCCATCCTGCATCCAACCAGCATCCATCCTGCATCCAACCTGCATCCTACCAGCATCCAACCAGCATCCATCCTGCATCCAACCAGCATCCATCCTGCATCCAATCAGCATCCAACCAGCATCCAACCTGCATCCATCCAGCATCCAACCAGCATCTATCCTGCATCCAACCTGCATCCTACCAGCATCCAACCAGCATCCATCCAGCATCCAACCAGCATCCAACCTGCATCCATCCAGCATTCAACCAGCATCCAACCTGCATCCATCCTGCATCCTACCAGCATCCAACCAGCATCCATCCTGCATCCAACCAGCATCCATCCTGCATCCAACCTGCATCCTACCAGCATCCAACCAGCATCCATCCTGCATCCAACCAGCATCCAACCTGCATCCATCCAGCATCCAACCAGCATCTATCCTGCATCCAGCCTGCATTCTACCAGCATCCAACCAGCATCCATCCAGCATCCAACCAGCATCCAACCTGCATCCATCCTGCATCCAACCTGCATCCTACCAGCATCCAACCAGCATCCATCCTGCATCCAACCAGCATCCAACCTGCATCCAACCAGCATCCAACCTGCATCCATCCTGCATCCTACCAGCATCCATCCAGCATCCAACCAGCATCCTATCAGCATCCAACCAGCATCCTACCAGCATCCAACCTGCATCCAACTTGCATCCATCCTGCATCCAACCAGCATCCATCCATCATCCAACCAGCATCCATCCAGCATCCAACCTGCATCCTATCAGCATCCAACCAGCATCCATCCAGCATCCAACCAGCATCCATCCAGCATCCTACCAGCATCCAACCAGCATCCATCCAGCATCCATCCTGCATCCAACCTGCATCCATCCTGCATCCAACCTGCATCCTACCAGCATCCAACCAGCATCCATCCAGCATCCATCCTGCATCCAACCTGCATCCATCCTGCATCCAACCTGCATCCTACCAGCATCCAACCAGCATCCAACCTGCATCCATCCTGCATCCTACCAGCATCCATCCAGCATCCAACCTGCATCCATCCAGCATCCAACCTGCATCCATCCTGCATCCATCCAGCATCCAACCTGCATCCAACCAGCATCCAACCTGCATCCAACCTGCATCCATCCAGCATCCAAACAGCATCCAACCTGCATCCATCCAGCATCCAACCTGCATCCAACCTGCATCCAACCAGCATCCATCCAGCATCCATCCAGCATCCTACCAGCATCCATCCTGCATCCAACCAGCATCCATCCTGCATCCTACCAGCATCCATCCAGCATCCATCCTGCATCCATCCAGCATCCAACCTGCATCCATTCTGCATCCATCCAGCATCCAACCAGCATCCAACCTGCATCCATCCAGCATCCATCCTGCATCCAACCAACATCCAACCTGCATCCATCCAGCATCCAACCAGCATCCAACCTTCATCCATCCTGCATCCATCCTGCATCCAACCAACATCCAACCTGCATCCATCCTGCATCCAACCAGCATCCAACCTTCATCCATCCTGCATCCAACCAGCATCCATCCTGCATCCTACCAGCATCCATCCAGCATCCATCCTGCATCCATCCAGCATCCAACCTGCATCCATTCTGCATCCATCCAGCATCCAACCAGCATCCAACCTGCATCCATCCAGCATCCATCCTGCATCCAACCAACATCCAACCTGCATCCATCCAGCATCCAACCAGCATCCAACCTTCATCCATCCTGCATCCATCCTGCATCCAACCAACATCCAACCTGCATCCATCCTGCATCCAACCAGCATCCAACCTTCATCCATCCTGCATCCTACCAGCATCCATCCTGCATCCAACCTGCATCCATCCTGCATCCATCCAGCATCCATCCTGCATCCTACCAGCATCCATCCTGCATCCATCCTGCATCCTACCAGCATCCATCCTGCATCCTACCAGCATCCAACCAGCATCCATCCTGCATCCAACCAGCATCCAACCTGCATCCAACCAGCATCCAACCTGCATCCATCCTGCATCCTACCAGCATCCATCCAGCATCCAACCAGCATCCTATCAGCATCCAACCAGCATCCTACCAGCATCCAACCTGCATCCAACTTGCATCCATCCTGCATCCAACCAGCATCCATCCATCATCCAACCAGCATCCATCCAGCATCCAACCAGCATCCATCCAGCATCCAACCAGCATCCAACCTGCATCCTATCAGCATCCAACCAGCATCCATCCAGCATCCAACCAGCATCCATCCAGCATCCTACCAGCATCCAACCAGCATCCATCCAGCATCCATCCTGCATCCAACCTGCATCCATCCTGCATCCTACCAGCATCCAACCAGCATCCATCCAGCATCCATCCTGCATCCAACCTGCATCCATCCTGCATCCAACCTGCATCCTACCAGCATCCAACCAGCATCCAACCTGCATCCATCCTGCATCCTACCAGCATCCATCCAGCATCCAACCTGCATCCAACCTGCATCCATCCTGCATCCATCCAGCATCCAACCTGCATCCAACCAGCATCCAACCTGCATCCATCCTGCATCCATCCAGCATCCAAACAGCATCCAACCAGCATCCATCCTGCATCCTACCAGCATCCATCCTGCATCCAACCAGCATCCATCCTGCATCCTACCAGCATCCATCCAGCATACATCCTGCATCCATCCAGCATCCAACCTGCATCCATTCTGCATCCATCCAGCATCCAACCAGCATCCAACCTGCATCCATCCTGCATCCAACCAACATCCAACCTGCATCCATCCAGCATCCAACCAGCATCCAACCTTCATCCATCCTGCATCCATCCTGCATCCAACCAACATCCAACCTGCATCCATCCTGCATCCAACCAGCATCCAACCTTCATCCATCCTGCATCCTACCAGCATCCATCCTGCATCCAACCTGCATCCATCCAGCATCCATCCTGCATCCATCCAGCATCCATCCTGCATCCTACCAGCATCCATCCTGCATCCTACCAGCATCCATCCTGCATCCTACCAGCATCCATCCTGCATCCTACCAGCATCCAACCAGCATCCATCCTGCATCCTACCAGCATCCATCCTGCATCCAACCAGCAACCATCCTGCATCCTACCAGCATCCAACCAGCATCCATCCTGCATCCTACCAGCATCCATCCTGCATCCATCCAGCATCCAACCTGCATCCATCCAGCATCCATCCTGCATCCTACCAGCATCCATCCTGCATCCAACCAGCATCCATCCTGCATCCATCCAGCATCCATCCTGCATCCTACCAGCATCCAACCAGCATCCATCCTGCATCCTACCAGCATCCTACCAGCATCCAACCTGCATCCAACCAGCATCCAACCAGCATCCATCCTGCGTCCTACCAGCATCCAACCTGCATCCATCCAGCATCCATCCTGCATCCTACCAGCATCCATCCTGCATCCAACCAGCATCCATCCTGCATCCAACCAGCATCCATCCTGCATCCTACCAGCATCCATCCTGCATCCTACCAGCATCCATCCTGCATCCTACCAGCATCCAACCTGCATCCATCCAGCACCCAACCAGCATCCATCCTGCATCCTACCAGCATCCATCCTGCATCCAACCAGCATCCATCCTGCATCCTACCAGCATCCAACCAGCATCCATCCTGCATCCAACCTGCATCCATCCTGCATCCAACCTGCATCCAACCTGCATCCTACCAGCATCCAACCAGCATCCAACCTGCATCCAACCAGCATCCATCCTGCATCCAACCTGCATCCAACCAGCATCCAACCAGCATCCAACCTGCATCCAACCAGCATCCATCCTGCATCCATCCTGCATCCAACCTGCATCCAACCTGCATCCAACCAGCATCCATCCTGCATCCATCCTGCATCCATCCTGCATCCAACCTGCATCCTACCAGCATCCAACCAGCATCCATCCTGCATCCAACCTGCATCCAACCAGCATCCATCCTGCATCCAACCTGCATCCTACCAGCATCCAACCAGCATCCATCCTGCATCTAACCTGCATCCTACCAGCATCCAACCAGCATCCAACCTGCATCCATCCAGCATCCAACCAGCATCTATCCTGCATCCAACCTGCATCCTACCAGCATCCAACCAGCATCCATCCAGCATCCAACCAGCATCCAACCTGCATCCTACCAGCATCCAACCAGCATCCATCCTGCATTCTACCAGCATCCAACCAGCATCCATCCTGCATCCAACCTGCATCCAACCAGCATCCATCCTGCATCCAACCTGCATCCTACCAGCATCCAACCAGCATCCATCCTGCATCCATCCTGCATCCTACCAGATTCCAACCAGCATCCATCCTGCATCCTACCAGCATCCATCCTGCATCCTACCAGCATCCAACCTGCATCCATCCAGCATCCAACCAGCATCCATCCTGCATCCTACCAGCATCCAACCTGCATCCATCCTGCATTCTACCAGCATCCATCCTGCATCCAACCAGCATCCATCCTGCATCCTACCAGCATCCAACCAGCATCCATCCTGCATCCTACCAGCATCCATCCTGAATCCATCTTGCATCCATCCAGCATCCAACCTGCATCCATCCAGCATCCATCCTGCATCCAACCAGCATCCATCCTGCATCCTACCAGCATCCATCCTGAATCCATCCTGCATCCATCCAGCATCCAACCAGCATCCATCCTGCATCCTACCAGATTCCAACCAGCATCCATCCTGCATCCTACCAGCATCCATCCTGCATCCTACCAGCATCCAACCTGCATCCATCCAGCATCCAACCAGCATCCATCCTGCATCCTACCAGCATCCAACCTGCATCCATCCAGCATCCATCCTGCATTCTACCAGCATCCATCCTGCATCCAACCAGCATCCATCCTGCATCCATCCAGCATCCAACCAGCATCCATCCTGCATCCTACCAGCATCCATCCTGCATCCTACCAGCATCCAACCTGCATCCAACCAGCATCCATCCAGCATCCAACCAGCATCCAACCAGCATCCATCCTGCATCCTACCAGCATCCATCCTGCATCCAACCAGCATCCATCCTGCATCCTACCAGCATCCAACCAGCATCCATCCTGCATCCAACCAGCATCCAACATGCATCCATCCTGCATCCTACCAGCATCCTACCAGCATCCAACCAGCATCCATCCAGCATCCATCCTGCATCCAACCAGCATCCATCCTGCATCCTACCAGCATCCATCCTGCATCCAACGAGCATCCATCCTGCATCCATCCAGCATCCAACCAGCATCCATCCTGCATCCTACCAGCATCCAACCAGCATCCATCCTGCATCCTACCAGCATCCATCCTGCATCCAACCAGCATCCATCCTGCATCCAACCTGCATCCAACCTGCATCCTACCAGCATCCAACCAGCATCCAACCAGCATCCATACTGCATCCTACCAGCATCCAACCAGCATCCATCCTGCATCCTACCAGCATCCATCCTGCATCCAACCTGCATCCAACCTGCATCCTACCAGCATCCAACCAGCATCCAACCTGCATCCAACCAGCATCCAACCAGCATCCATCCTGCATCCAACCTGCATCCAACCAGCATCCAACCAGCATCCAACCTGCATCCAACCAGCATCCATCCTGCATCCATCCTGCATCCAACCTGCATCCAACCTGCATCCAACCAGCATCCATCCTGCATCCATCCTGCATCCAACCTGCATCCTACCAGCATCCAACCAGCATCCATCCTGCATCCAACCTGCATCCAACCAGCATCCATCCTGCATCCAACCTGCATCCTACCAGCATCCAACCAGCATCCATCCTGCATCTAACCTGCATCCTACCAGCATCCAACCAGCATCCAACCTGCATCCATCCAGCATCCAACCAGCATCTATCCTGCATCCAACCTGCATCCTACCAGCATCCAACCAGCATCCATCCAGCATCCAACCAGCATCCAACCTGCATCCTACCAGCATCCAACCAGCATCCATCCTGCATCCTACCAGCATCCAACCAGCATCCATCCTGCATCCAACCTGCATCCAACCAGCATCCATCCTGCATCCAACCTGCATCCTACCAGCATCCAACCAGCATCCATCCTGCATCCAACCTGCATCCTACCAGCATCCAACCAGCATCCATCCTGCATCCAATCAGCATCCAAACAGCATCCAACCTGCATCCATCCAGCATCCATCCAGCATCCAACCAGCATCCAACCTGCATCCATCCAGCATCCAACCAGCATCCATCCAGCATCCATCCTGCATCCATCCAGCATCCAACCTTCATCCATTCTGCATCCATCCAGCATCCAACCAGCATCCAACCTTCATCCATCCTGCATCCAACCAGCATCCAACCTTCATCCATCCTGCATCCTACCAGCATCCTACCAGCATCCATCCTGCATCCTACCAGCATCCAACCTGCATCCATCCTGCATCCATCCAGCATCCATCCTGCATCCTACCAGCATTCAACCAGCATCCATCCTGCATCCTACCAGCATCCATCCTGAATCCATCTTGTATCCAACCTGCATCCATCCAGCATCCATCCTGCATCCAACCAGCATCCATCCTGCATCCTACCAGCATCCATCCTGAATCCATCCTGCATCCATCCAGCATCCAACCAGCATCCAACCTGCATCCATCCAGCATCCAACCAGCATCCATCCTGCATCCTACCAGCATCCAACCTGCATCCAACCAGCATCCATCCTGCATCCTACCAGCATCCAACCTGCATCCATCCAGCATCCAACCAGCATCCATCCTGCATCCTACCAGCATCCAACCTTCATCCATCCTGCATCCTACCAGCATCCATCCTGCATCCATCCAGCATCCATCCTGCATCCATCCTGCATCCTACCAGCATCCATCCTGAATCCATCTTGCATCCATCCAGCATCCAACCTGCATCCATCCAGCATCCATCCTGCATCCAACCAGCATCCATCCTGCATCCTACCAGCATCCATCCTGAATCCATCCTGCATCCATCCAGCATCCAACCAGCATCCATCCTGCATCCTACCAGATTCCAACCAGCATCCATCCTGCATCCTACCAGCATCCAACCTGCATCCATCCAGCATCCAACCAGCATCCATCCTGCATCCTACCAGCATCCAACCTGCATCCATCCAGCATCCATCCTGCATTCTACCAGCATCCATCCTGCATCCAACCAGCATCCATCCTGCATCCATCCAGCATCCAACCAGCATCCATCCTGCATCCTACCAGCATCCATCCTGCATCCTACCAGCATCCAACCTGCATCCAACCAGCATCCATCCAGCATCCAACCAGCATCCAACCAGCATCCAACCAGCATCCATCCTGCATCCTACCAGCATCCATCCTGCATCCAACCAGCATCCATCCTGCATCCTACCAGCATCCAACCAGCATCCATCCTGCATCCAACCAGCATCCAACATGCATCCATCCTGCATCCTACCAGCATCCTACCAGCATCCAACCAGCATCCATCCAGCATCCATCCTGCATCCAACCAGCATCCATCCTGCATCCTACCAGCATCCATCCTGCATCCTACCAGCATCCATCCTGCATCCTACCAGCATCCAACCAGCATCCATCCTGCATCCAACCAGCATCCATCCTGCATCTTACCAGCATCCAACCAGCATCCATCCTGCATCCAACCAGGATCCAACATGCATCCATCCTGCATCCTACCAGCATCCAACCAGCATCCTACCAGCATCCATCCTGCATCCAACCAGCATCCAACCTGCATCCATCCTGCATCCTACCAGCATCCAATCAGCATCCATCCTGCATCCTACCAGCATCCATCCTGCATCCAACCAGCATCCAACCTGCATCCATCCTGCATCCTACCAGCATCCAACCTGCATCCATCCAGCATCCATCCTGCATCCTACCAGCATCCAACCAGCATCCATCCTGCATCCAACCAGCATCCAACATGCATCCATCCTGCATCCTACCAGCATCCAATCAGCATCCTACCAGCATCCAACCTGCATCCATCCAGCATCCATCCTGCATCCTACCAGCATCCATCCAGCATCCATCCTGCATCCTACCAGCATCCAACCAGCATCCATCCATGTTCCTCACCGTTTCGTCTGGCTCCCTGGGGAGTCAGGGTGGATCCCGCCATGCTGAAGTCTCCCATGAGGGGGTTCATGACGCTGGTGTGGGCGGAGTCAGAGTTGGTCCTGTAGGGGGGGCAGACACAAAGATTCAGGAGGAGAGAAGAAGAAGGAGAAGAAGATGTTCAACGGGCTGAAAGCGGCTGGAGACGCTGCATCACTGCCACCCAAAGACTGCAGCAACAAACCTGCAGCAGGATGTGAGTGGGTGTACAGATCAAGTGGAGCTCAGACAGCAGAGAGATGGAGGGATGAAACAGACAGGAACAGGAAACAGAAACGTCTCACACTGTCAGGAAGAGTAGGAACAGGAGGAAGAGGAGGATTCACCTGTTGAGCGCTGTGGTGGGGAGACGGAACAACTGGCTTTTATCTCCAGGGAAGTTTCCAGACCAGTTCCTTTCAGTGATCGACAACAAGACAAAGTTATTTTCCTCCAGCAACCGGAGAGAGAGACACATAGAGACACAGAGACAGACATAGAGACACAGAGAGAGACATAGAGAGACATAGAGACACAGAGAGAGACATAGAGAGACACAGAGAGAGACATAGAGACACAGAGAGACAGAGAGAGACATAGAGAGACACAGAGAGAGACATAGAGACACAGAGACAGACATAGAGACACAGAGAGAGACATAGAGAGACACAGAGAGAGACATAGAGACAGAGAGAGACATAGAGAGACACAGAGAGAGACATAGAGAGACACAGAGAGAGACATAGAGACAGAGAGAGACATAGAGAGACACAGAGAGAGACATAGAGAGACACAGAGAGAGACATAGAGACACAGAGAGACAGAGAGAGACATAGAGAGACACAGAGAGAGACATAGAGACACAGAGACAGACATAGAGACACAGAGAGAGACATAGAGAGACACAGAGAGAGACATAGAGACAGAGAGAGACATAGAGAGACACAGAGAGAGACATAGAGAGACACAGAGAGAGACATAGAGACACAGAGAGAGACACAGAGACACAGAGAGAGACATAGAGACACAGAGAGACAGAGACACACAGAGACACAGAGAGAGACATAGAGACACAGAGAGAGACATAGAGACACAGAGACAGAGAGAGACATAGAGAGACACAGAGAGAGACATAGAGACACAGAGACAGACATAGAGACACAGAGACACAGAGAGAGACATAGAGAGACACAGAGAGAGACAGAGACACAGAGAGACATAGAGAGACAGAGACACACAGAGACACAGAGAGAGACATAGAGACACAGAGAGACAGAGAGAGACATAGAGACACAGAGAGAGACATAGAGACACAGAGAGAGACATAGAGACACAGAGAGACAGAGAGAGACATAGAGACACAGAGAGAGACATAGAGGCACAGAGAGAGACATAGAGACACAGAGACAGACATAGAGACACAGAGAGACAGAGAGAGACATAGAGACACAGAGAGAGACATAGAGACACAGAGACAGACATAGAGACACAGAGAGACAGAGAGAGACACACATAGAGACAGAGAGACACATAGAGACAGAGAGACAGACATAGAGACACAGAGATAGACATAGACAGAGAGAGACACAGAGAGACACACATAGAGACAGAGACACACATAGAGACAGAGAGACACATAGAGACACATAGGTGTGGTCTCTCTGGTGTGGCTGGACCAGCAGAGACAGAACCGTGATCTTAGCTTTAGAGAGACACAAAGAGAGACATAGAGAGACAGCGAGACACACAGTGAGGAGGGCAGGGTGTCGAGGAAGAGGAGCTCAAGCCGAGAGGAGGAAGATAGAGGCAACGAGGGGGCGGGGCCAAGATCTGGTCATCAGGTTTAGTAGGACAGACTGTGGGAACAGCATCCATCATCCAACAGGCATTATGTAAAGTCGCAATAACGCGACGAGTGAGTTTGTTTACTCATTAAATTCTTCTGATACTTTCATCACTTTATTCTGGAAATAAATCAATCTGAGTCTCCTTCATTCTGACAGAGCTTTATGTGAGTATTAAGACGTTGTAATGTTTTCCTCCTCGTCCTTCTGCTGTTTGTGGTGCTCCACAGGGCTGTGTGTTTGGACCGCTTCTATTCAGAACCGGCTGCAGACCGTCTGAATAGAAGACCGTCTGAAACCCAACGGGAGAGGTCACGACACGAATCGGAGCGAAGGGAAGCGGCTCAGAGTTAAAACGACTGAAACAGATTAATGAAGCCACAGAAAAACCACAGAAGAAGCAGCAGCGGCCCAGACCCGCTTCCTGTTAGAGCTTCAGCTGTTAATGAAACACAAGGATCCACTTTGTGTGACCCACAGCGACCAGAACCAGAACCAGAGCCGTTCAGTCAGCAGAACTGAGCCCAGGTTCTGACCAGCAGAGACAGAACAGTGATCTTAGCTTTAGTTCTGACCCAGACGCTCCCCGGATCAGCAGATCTCCAGGATTTCTGGATCTTGGCCAGGTCCCTGAGTGGTTCTGGTTCTGACCCAAACCACCATTCAGTTGCAGGAAAACCTTAAGATTTATCAGAGGCTGAAGCTCCATCTGAGCTTGATGCATCCCTAAAGGTCACCTCAAGGTCATGCATCCTGACAGGAGTCAGCAATTTGTTCAGGACTGGTCCAGATCTCATCACCACGCTACTGGTTCTGGTTCTGGATCAACCCAACCAAAGTCCAAACAAAAGCCCTGAGAGATCCTGGAGAAGAGCTCAGAGGCCGACGGCTCCATCGGAGCGGCTGAACCTCCGCCAGGCGTCCAGAGCCGTCCTGAAGGGACAGAAGCGTCCCTGACCCAACAGCTGCTTCAGACGGATTACTTCCTTAGCATGCGAGCTAGCTGTGCAGGTGTGTTGGGTCAGGGCAATGTGCGGAACATGGTCCCCTGAGGACAGACTGAGGACAGACTGCGTCTCCTCCTGCAGTCGACCTGATGAGCCTCTGCTGCTCCGCTGAACCACCTGGGGTCACGCTGGGGTCACAGAGGGGCGTTGGAGAGGCAGGAACACACAGGGGGCCCGGAAAGAGACAAACAGGGGTCCCAGAGGACAGACGCGATTCCATGGAGACACGTAGCAGACTCCACCTTCTCCAGCTGCTGTCGGGGGGCGGGGACAGGTAGGCGGCGCTGTACAGAGAGTTCTCCACCTGGGGAGGCGGCAGGTTAAGGAGCAACAACACAGTCAGGCTCTTTCACAATAAAAGCACCACTTTTCAACCTGCTCTTCTTCTGAATTAAAGAACATTTCCAGAACCAAACCCGGGTTCTAGATGATTCTGTCACTTCATTAACTCTGCAGAGTTCAGACTGAGGCAGCATCACTGAGCCACAGCCGGGCCAGACCGCGGCAGAACCTCTAGGTCAGCAGGAACAGCGGTTCTGAAGGATACTTGGCGGTTCCGATACGGTCGGACCGGCGAGACGAAGCGGCGGTCCCTCTGGACCCGCTCCACCAAGCCGTGGTGGCGGGTGGAGCGGGTGGACTCCAGGCCGGACTGGAACGAGCTCTGGGGGGAGGAACAGTAGAAGAAGAAGAGACGTTCACCGCTGGGCTCAGACTCACGTTCTGAAAGTTTTATGGCTACAGTTTAATATATTCCACCAGGAACGAAACACTGAAACACCATTCAGCTGCAACGAAAGAGGATTCCAGGTCAACAGGAACACAACGCTTTACTGGAGTCATACTGGGAAAGTAACCAGAGACTGGAGGCTAACAGAGGACTGGTGGAGGCTAACGCTGACACTGTGTTAGCAGAGGTTAACGCAAACTCTTGTCCAACTCAGGTTAAAGCTTACCTGGAAGTCCTGCGGGTTGCGGCCGATCTGGTTGACGTTGGGTAAGGAGCCGCCATAGTACGGCCCCTGGTTCCGGGCCAGGCGTAACTTCTGGGCCTGCAGCTGCTGGGACGACCACAGGTTCTGATCAAAACCATTATTATCATGATCAGACTGCATGTTTATCACTGATGGGTCTAAATATCTGAGTTTATTCAGCATGCATGAACTTGACATCATGACCTATGACGTCACAACAACTCCGTCAGGCAGGTCCGATCTGGCCGGTTCGAACAGACCCAAACAGAACCCAGCAGAATTACGTCCGGTCTGGTTTGGACCGGCCTTTTGGGCTGCAGCAGACTGAGGCTTCCGAATGGTTCTGGAGGTCCATCGACATCAGCTGGACCCGACCTTCAGCTGCCTAGAACCTGGGTTCATTCTGCCGACTCCAGAACCAGAACCAAACGGCTGCACAGGCAGAACACTGGCCCGGTTTCAGGTTCAAAGTTCTCCAGAAGTTGTAGATGAAACAGATTCAGGTTTGTCTTTCTGCAGGAACTGAGCAGAAACCATGAAGAATTTTCTGTTCATGTTTAATAAACATAATCCATATCACTTTTAAAAAACTATTTTATTAACAGGAATCTCCAAACCAGCTTGCTTCTGTGGGAAGAAGTACAATCCTGAAAGCTCTGCCGAGATGATCCAGCCCAGAGCATGACACCACCTCTACCAGCAGAGCCTGGAGATGAAAACAGCGATCTGGACTCGAACAGGAACTGAGTGGAGGAGCAGCCAAAGTCCAAAGAAAAGCCAAACGACCGACGAAGAGTTCAACGTGCAGTGGATGCTTCAGGTCAACAAATCTGACCCCAGGATGGGATGAAAACAGACTGATAACAACCTGACACCTGGAGTCTGTTAAAACACAACAAACCGGGACAGAGCAGAGGCTCCGCAGCTCCAGCAGCGGGACGGCTCCGTTTTTCACCCGGGTTAGGACGCCTCATTCCCGGCCCCTGCAGCCGGGCAGCTCCCAGCAGTGCAGTGGTAAACAGTTAGCATCGCTGCTAACAGGAGCTAGCCCCGCTAACGACGGAAACGAAGAAAACCGAAGCGCTTCCGACTCTAAACGAGACAGAAGTTTCTCGCGTTATCCCCGAAAACGTCTTTTACTTTCTAAAGTAACCGAACTCAAACAAAAATGTCCAGTCTCAGCAGAACCAACGGATGTGGCGCCTCTCGAAGACCCGGACAGGCCTCTCTTCCTCCGGGGAGCTCCCTCCTCCCTCCGCGTCGCACTCACCCTGGTCGAAGTGATGTCCATCATAACCTCCTGGAAGGCGGCCGTCTCCTCGGCCTGGCGCTGGGTGTGCAGGGCGATCTTCTCGCTGAACTTTCGGGGGTTGGAGGCCCGGACCCGGAGCCCGTGGCGGGTCCTGGTCCGGGTCCTGGTCCGCCTGAACCCGTCGCAGACATCTTCTCGGAGCGGACCGGACGACCTGACGTAGTGGAACGATTTCAATCAGAGAGGGTCGGAAAAGGAAGAGGTCTCACTTTGAGGATTATTCCCAGGACAAGGACCCTCAGACTAAGATCAGTAGAGGTTCTTTTTAGGTCCTTCCGAGCACAATTGATTAAACCGTGAAAATTTAGTAACACCTAGGTTTAAACTTTTTAAACTAAATCTAAAATATTCTCCATCGGTTATTACATTGTTAGGTATCTAATGCGATGATTTTCAGGCACACAGTGTTTTTTACTTTGTGGTTAAACTTTGGCAGATATGTGTGTCTGTAGATTAATGTATTGTTGTTTTTTCCAAGACTTGTACAGTTTATTTAATATTCTCAGCTGTGTTTAATAATTTTTTTACTTTGCAGCAAAAGTATATATATTTTTATTTTGGGTTATATCGAATATGTTTTGTTTCGGAAATATCATCCAGAATTTTAATAGATCTGTTTTTGTGGATTTCATTTAGCAGTCGGAGTGAGGCATCACTGAAAGATTAGAAAAGTTGGATGGTTGAGAGTCGGCATCACGGCGCCCTCTGCTGGTACAAAGTACGTATTGCTGCTGCTTCTGTTTTCTGCTGAACTTCGTTCACCGAAATCCGAGAAGAAAATAGAAACTTTTTCTGGAGAAAATGGAACAGAGACTCCAGAAATCCAGAATCAAAAACAGAGACCTGTTCAACTTATCAACACTCTCATTTAAAATCAAGTCATTAAATCAATATGTCTCTGTTGCTACAACAGTCAATTAATCTGTTAGTGATGAATAACTGACAAACATGGAAGGTGAAGCATCCATGTTTTATCTGGAGAGAGAGGAACCCATGAGGAAGACTGAACCTCCAGGCGGGTCAGAACCGTTTTCTCCTCTCTGGCTGTTCGGTTTGTAAAAACTTCCGGTCCGGGGCTCCACGGGGAAAGTGGACTCAGTCAGGGTTCGGGTTGGGACAGAAGGGCCGGTGTTATGGATTAACTGGGCGAAACCTTCGCGCACTGCAGATGTTTCTGAATTGTAGGTGGCTGCGTTGATGCCTGCTGAAAAATCCTAACTAAGTGACAAAACCGTTTGCAAAACTTCACTATAAATCCAATTTTCACCAAATATGTTTTTTGTTACTTGTGAAAATGATGTTTGAAAACAAGTTTCTACAGAGCAGCGATCAGTTCGCTTCATTGGATCAGAACCAATGAGGAACAGGACCATCCCATCCAGGTTCACCAGAATCAATTCATTTCCTGTCATGAACAGCAGAATGTGAGCCTGAGTGGAAGCTTTTCTAACCAGCACTGATCGATTATTGATCATTGATCATTGAATCGGCTCTCAGCTTCCTGTAATGGGAGATATTAACATTTCCATCCTGCTGAGAGTTTCTGGCTCTGCAACCAAAATGTTTCTGAACTTCATCCTGTAGCGACTCGACCCACAGGAAGTGACTCGACCTGTCACAGGAAGTGACTCGACCCACAGGAAGTGACTCGACCCACAGGAAGTGACTCGACCCACAGGAAGTGGCTCGACCTGTCACAGGAAGTGACTCGACCTGTCACAGGAAGTGACTCGACCTGTCACAGGAAGTGACTCGACCTGTCACAGGAAGTGACTCGACCTGTCACAGGAAGTGACTCGACCTGTCACAGGAAGTGACTCGACCTGTCACAGGAAGTGACTCGACCTGTCACAGGAAGTGACTCGACCTGTCACAGGAAGTGACTCGACCTGTCACAGGAAGTGACTCGACCTGTCACAGGAAGTGACGCTGAACGATGAGGTCATCACATTGAATCAACTTTAAATCACTGATGTGTTGCTGTGTGTTTACTAACAGAGTAACGTCCATCAGTTATCATGACATAAAGTTAATGCTGTAGTTGGTGGTGAATCAACATAAAGTTATAATAATAAACTGTCAGATTATGATCCATATCTACAGAATCTGTTCTCCACTGGGAACCAGTTTGGATTAAATTAAAAACAAAACAAACTGCATTAACAGGGTCGTCAACGCTGATGTTTGTAAACATCAGCTGGCTGTGCCAATATGAAAATGTCTTCAAAACATAATTATACCTTGTCTATTGTTGGAAATGTTACTTTAATTATACTAGTTTGAATGATGATTAACTTTAGTGCATGTTGAAATGTTTAGATTAAAGATTCAATCAATATAACTATAATCTGATCAGCAGAACTTTTTTCTTAGACATAATTTGATTAAAATGAGTCGAATCAGTAGTTCTTTATATGAAATCAGTCTTAATAAATGTGTGAGTCACGTATTAATCTGAAATGTTTTAGTTCATCACAACCAAAGACGTAGAAAACTAATCAGAAAATGTTGAGTGCAACATGTTTTGGTATTGAAGCTGTTCAAGTCTGATTTAGAAGACTTTATAATATTACATGAAATGATTTGCCAATGTTATTATCAAATCTGCTGTTTGCTGCACTGGGTCAAAGGTCAGAGGTCAGGAGAGCTCAATGCGGTTCAGGAACCAGTTTGGAAGAATAATAAACACAGATAGCTGATAAAAACTGGTCCCAGTTTGTCAGGTAAAATGTTTCCATGTTTCTGTCCAATAGCTCATCTATTTGTTGCACTCTTGATGATGAGTCAGTGTGATTTTCGCAGGTTCTTTTATTCGATGAACACTGTTGACAACAAGAGCCTGAACCAGCCGCCACTGCACGAAACTGCTGCTGAGTCAGTGGTGCTCACTGTGCCAACTAGTGGCGAACTGCTGTAACTGCACTTTAGTATATCTTAGTTGAGTAGAAGTGCAGTCTGCAGTCCTTAAACACAGTGAAAAGGTGTGATTATTTCTCCAGTCCATTCTGTCACATATTGTTCCTTCCCCGTGAAAACTGACAGCGATGAATTCATGCAAACAGCTGGCGGATTGCCACGACGCTGCAGAGAGCAGCTCTAGACGACGGTCACACAGTAAACACACGCCTAGATATAAAAGTAATAGAGCTGACACAGTTGGTCAGATCGCTGGGTGACGCACAGCGTCTTCATATTTTGCATTTGTTTATAAGATAATGAATGTTTTCCTGCTGATTTTGCATCTTTTTTATCAGGTTGGGTTGTTGGTGGGATTTTTGCTCTTCCATTTCTGTTTGAATAAATTCTGGTTGATTGTGAAGTTGAACAGTGATTGCTGCTTGGTTTCACGTTTACACACTGAATCAACGGATCTGGAGGCAACGAGTAACAGACTTTCAACAATATGAAGGAATATTGAAGAATATATTTAAAGGAAACAGGTCTGATATTATTAAAATTAATTTATTGCTCATTAATGGAAGCCACATTAAGACTGTGCAACTTTATAATCTGACAATATTCTGACGGTTAAAGTTTTTAGAAAGCTTTGAAAAGTGGATGTTGTACAATAAATCTATTCCATCTTTAGTTTTAGAAAATGAAATTTGGTCTTCTAACAGAGTTAAATGATGATTTATCTAATCCCAAGTTTCATTCTCAAATACTACTTTCTAAAAATCAACTCCACTTTTAAAGTGAAATCATTTATTATTTACAATCTTTAATCCAATATGTTAATATCTTAATTTAAGATTTGAAATTTGTCTTTCATTTGTGACATTTTTTCTTTCCTCATTTAGTTTGTGTTTATTTTCATTTCTTCTTTTCCTGCTCAGTTTATTAAATCAAACTTTTTATCACTAATGTGCCTTGTCATAATATTTTCTTTTAATTTTCCATAAAGTTGGAAAAAACTTGTAACTTTTTATCCTCTAGATCTGTAAATGTGGACTTTAATTCTTCACAAATAATTCAGTTTGGTTTATATATCAAAGAAAAAAATGTAGAAGTTTTAGTGAATGTTTTGATGATTATAACCAAATATTATATCCATAAATGCCGTTATGCAAAATGCTCCCTGTCAATCTCTGCTCTCAAAACAAACTTTCCTCCTTTAACAGATGTCTGAAAAAGACCTTAAAAGCAAATAAATTGTGATTTAATGGAAGAATTTCAGTTCGCCCCTCTTCTCAATAACTTACCTTTATTTAGTTTTTTTTTTGTTGTGTAATTTTGTATTTCTTGTTCTAGCCTTTATTTTCTGTTAGAGTTGTGATCTTATTTTTTTCTTGTAATGTTCATTATTGTTTGAGTTTGTCATTGTTATTGTGTATTTCAATAAAAAAAATCATTGCCATAAATCCGCCTTTTAACTCAACGTCACATGCAGCAATGAATTGTGGGTAATGCAGTTTGCAGAAGTCCGTAAAAATGCAGAGTTTGCGTTAGGGCGGAAATAGAACCAAGATGGGAGGAAGTGGAGGACGTGGGACACACTGTGACCTTTAACCCCCAGCCTGAAGCAGAAGTTCGGGCCTCAGGGTTCGGACGGAGCCAGAGAACTTCAAGCTGCAGTTTGTAACTTCAGTGTTTAATGATTATTAATATTTCACACATGAATTAAAAGGTGCTTTCTGTCCTGACGTAACAGAATCAGTCAGAAACATGGATTCAATGTTTTCTGTTTAACTTGACATCATTATGGGAGAGGTTCTGCAGCGGCCTAATCAAAGCCCAGAGCTGTTCACAGCTCATCCCACCAGCCTGAGCTGGTGGAGTTTAGCAGTGACGGTCGCCATGTTGGTCATGACTGAGTTATGAAAGTGATGAGCGGCTGAACAGACGCGTCATGGCGACATGTCGTCATTAATCACATGATGAACGATCATCATCCTGTCGGAACCAGCAGCGGCAGGTCTGGACCTGCAGCTGCAGCTCAGACTGGAGATGCGCGTCCAGGGCCTGGGCGCCCTGCTGGGCAGCACCGAACATTTACCGGGAGGTTCGGTTCGGCCGGAGCCGCCTGGGCCACCTTAACATCTCTGGCTCGGGCTTTTAAAAATTACATTTATGCCCTTATTTTGAAGAGCCCGTTTACACGGCGGTTCCGTTTCCTGGAGAAAGATTAAGAAGAAACTTAGGAAGAGACAAACAGCTAGAGAATCAGATGGAAACATAAATACGATATTTAAGAACAAAACATGGCAACAATAAATGGTTCAAAAATTGTAGATTTAATTTGCCTTAAAATTAGCACCTTAGCATTAGCTTCTGCTAAATACTTTACTGGTGCAGCATAGCAGTGTAGCATAGCAGTGCAGCATAGCATAGCAGCGAAGCATAAAAGTGTAGCATAGCAGTGTAGCATAGCAGCGTAGCATAAAAGTGTAGCATAGCAGTGTAGCATAGCAGTGTAGCATAGCAGCGTAGCATAAAAGTGTAGCATAGCAGTGTAGCATGGCAGTGCAGCATAGCATAGCAGCGAAGCATAAAAGTGTAGCATAGCAGTGTAGCATAGCAGTGTAGCATAGCAGTGCAGCATAGCATAGCAGCGAAGCATAAAAGTGTAGCATAGCAGTGTAGCATAGCAGTGTAGCATGGCAGTGTAGCATAGCAGTGTAGCATGGCAGTGCAGCATAGCAGTGTAGCATAGCAGTGTAGCATAGCAGTGTAGCATGGCAGTGTAGCATAGCAACTGCTGCGGGTCGCGCCGCCGCGTTGCGACCAGTGAAGAGCAGATTTACGTTTTTGTCTTTTATCTTTTAGAGACAGAAATCTGATTTATTCAAAGGCTTTTCAGCAGAAACATTTCAAACCGGAGCTGCTGATAAAGCGCTCCTACGTCAGACCCAGATGTCGGAGGTGCAGTCGCCCCCCGGGTAGCGCAGCTCGTGGGCCAGCGCCGGCCCGTCGGGCTCCCGGCCGAAGTCCACCAGGAAGTCCGGGTTGAGGGACAGGCCGCCCCGCTCCACGTCCACATCGATCCGCATCATCACCGAGCCCTCTCTGCAAAACACCAGGACACGCTCAGCTTCTGTGGCCCAACACGCGGCTCCGGTCCTCAGCAGGCGCCGGGCTCTTCCGGGTCGCGGGTCGGTACCTCATCATGTCCGGGTAGAACTGCTTGTCCCAACCGCTGAACAGAGACGTGGTGACGTAAAGTCTCCGACCGTCCAGACTGAGCTGCAGCATCTGGGGACTTCCAGGGACACGCTTCCCCTGAGGGGCGGACAGGTGAGACAGATTAGAGACAGGTGAGACAGACACACTCAGGTAGACTCAGGTATTATACCTTGATGATGCAAGGAGCCGGCTGCTCCTGCTTTTCTGGATCCTCCAGGACTTTGACTGGTCCGTCTCTGATGATGCTTCCTCCCAGGAACACCTGGAACAGACAGACAGGTGAGCCGTCTCACTCCGACGTCTCGCTGTAGCAAGAGACAGATGTGATGACATCAGACCTGTCCAACCAATCGAGGGTTCCTGCGGTCTGTGATGTCATACTGTCTGATGTCACCGTGGAGCCAGTTGCTGAAGTAGAGGAAGCGATCATCCAACGAGATCAGGATGTCAGTGATGAGGCCTGCAGACAGGTGAGACAGGTAGGGCAGAGACATGTGAGACAGGTAGGGCAGAGACAGGTTAGAGACAGAGACAGGTGAGACAGAGACAGGTTAGAGACAGAGACAGGTGAGACAGGTAGGGCAGAGACAGGTAGGACAGAGACTGGTGAGACAGGTAGGACAGAGACAGGTGAGACAGAGACAGGTTAGAGACAGAGACAGGTTAGAGACAGAGACATGTGAGACAGAGACAGGTAGGACAGAGACAGGTGAGACAGGTAGGGCAGAGACAGGTTAGAGACAGAGACAGGTGAGACAGAGACAGGTAGGACAGAGACAGGTTAGAGACAGAGACAGGTGAGACAGAGACAGGTAGGACAGAGACAGGTTAGAGACAGAGACAGGTGAGACAGGTAGGGCAGAGACTGGTGAGACAGAGACAGGTAGGACAGAGACAGGTTAGAGACAGAGACAGGTGAGACAGGTAGGGCAGAGACAGGTAGGACAGAGACAGGTGAGACAGGTAGGGCAGAGACAGGTGAGACAGAGACAGGTTAGAGACAGAGACAGGTGAGACAGAGACAGGTAGGACAGAGACAGGTTAGAGACAGAGACAGGTGAGACAGAGACAGGTTAGAGACAGAGACAGGTTAGAGACAGAGACAGGTGAGACAGAGACAGGTTAGGGACAGGTGAGACAGAGACAGGTTAGAGACAGGTGAGACAGGTAGGGCAGAGACAGGTAGGACAGAGACAGGTGAGACAGGTAGGACAGAGACAGGTGAGACAGAGACAGGTAGGACAGAGACAGGTGAGACAGAGACAGGTGAGACAGAGACAGGTTAGTGACAGGTGAGACAGGTAGGGCAGAGACAGGTAGGACAGAGACATGTGAGACAGGTAGGGCAGAGACAGGTGAGACAGAGACAGGTAGGACAGGTAGGGCAGAGACAGGTTAGAGACAGAGACAGGTGAGACAGAGACAGGTTAGAGACAGAGACAGGTGAGACAGGTAGGGCAGAGACAGGTAGGACAGAGACAGGTGAGACAGGTAGGGCAGAGACAGGTGAGACAGAGACAGGTAGGACAGAGACAGGTGAGACAGAGACAGGTTAGAGACAGAGACAGGTGAGACAGGTAGGGCAGAGACAGGTGAGACAGAGACAGGTAGGACAGAGACAGGTGAGACAGGTAAGACATAGACAGGTGAGACAGAGACAGGTAGGACAGAGACAGGTTAGAGACAGAGACAGGTTAGAGACAGAGACAGGTGAGACAGAGACAGGTTAGGGACAGGTGAGAGACAGAGACAGGTAGGACAGAGACAGGTTAGAGACAGGTGAGACAGAGACAGGTTAGAGACAGGTGAGACAGGTAGGGCAGAGACAGGTGAGACAGAGACAGGTTAGAGACAGGTGAGACAGGTAGGGCAGAGACAGGTGAGACAGAGACAGGTAGGACAGAGACAGGTGAGACAGAGACAGGTTAGAGACAGAGACAGGTGAGACAGGTAGGGCAGAGACAGGTGAGACAGAGACAGGTGAGACAGGTAAGACATAGACAGGTGAGACAGAGACAGGTAGGACAGAGACAGGTTAGAGACAGAGACAGGTTAGAGACAGAGACAGGTGAGACAGAGACAGGTTAGGGACAGGTGAGAGACAGAGACAGGTAGGACAGAGACAGGTTAGAGACAGGTGAGACAGAGACAGGTTAGAGACAGAGACAGGTTAGAGACAGAGACAGGTTAGAGACAGGTGAGACAGAGACAGGTTAGTGACAGGTGAGACAGAGACAGGTTAGAGACAGAGACAGGTGGGATAGAGACAGGTTAGAGACAGAGACAGGTTAGAGACAGAGACAGGTGAGACAGGTAGGGCAGAGACAGGTAGGACAGAGACATGTGAGACAGTTAGGGCAGAGACAGGTGAGACAGAGACAGGTAGGGCAGAGACAGGTTAGAGACAGAGACAGGTGAGACAGGTAGGGCAGAGACAGGTAGGACAGAGACAGGTGAGACAGGTAGGGCAGAGACAGGTGAGACAGAGACAGGTAGGACAGAGACAGGTGAGACAGGTAGGGCAGAGACAGGTGAGACAGAGACAGGTAGGACAGAGACAGGTGAGACAGGTAGGGCAGAGACAGGTTAGAGACAGAGACAGGTGAGACAGAGACAGGTAGGACAGAGACAGGTGAGACAGGTAAGACATAGACAGGTGAGACAGGTAGGGCAGAGACAGGTTAGAGACAGAGACAGGTGAGACAGAGACAGGTAGGACAGAGACAGGTAGGACAGAGACTGGTGAGACAGAGACAGGTTAGAGACAGAGACAGGTGAGACAGAGACAGGTTAGAGACAGGTGAGACAGAGACAGGTTAGAGACAGAGACAGGTGAGACAGAGACAGGTTAGAGACAGGTGAGACAGAGACAGGTTAGAGACAGAGACAGGTGAGACAGGTAGGGCAGAGACAGGTAGGACAGAGACTGGTGAGACAGAGACAGGTTAGAGACAGAGACAGGTGAGACAGAGACAGGTTAGAGACAGGTGAGACAGAGACAGGTTAGAGACAGAGACAGGTGAGACAGAGACAGGTTAGGGACAGGTGAGAGACAGAGACAGGTTAGAGACAGGTGAGACAGAGACAGGTTAGAGACAGAGACAGGTTAGAGACAGAGACAGGTGAGACAGAGACAGGTTAGAGACAGAGACAGGTTAGAGACAGGTGAGACAGAGACAGGTTAGAGACAGAGACAGGTGAGACAGAGACAGGTTAGTGACAGGTGAGACAGAGACAGGTTAGAGACAGAGACAGGTGGGATAGAGACAGGTTAGAGACAGAGACAGGTTAGAGACAGAGACAGGTGAGACAGAGACAGGTTAGAGACAGAGACAGGTTAGAGACAGGTGAGACAGAGACAGGTTAGAGACAGAGACAGGTTAGAGACAGGTGAGACAGAGACAGGTTAGAGACAGAGACAGGTGGGATAGAGACAGGTTAGAGACAGAGACAGGTTAGAGACAGAGACAGGTTAGTGACAGGTGAGACAGAGACAGGTTAGAGACAGAGACAGGTGAGATAGAGACAGGTTAGAGACAGAGACAGGTGGGATAGAGACAGGTTAGAGACAGAGACAGGTTAGAGACAGAGACAGGTTAGTGACAGGTGAGACAGAGACAGGTTAGAGACAGAGACAGGTGAGATAGAGACAGGTTAGAGACAGAGACAGGTGGGATAGAGACAGGTTAGAGACAGAGACAGGTTAGAGACAGGTGAGACAGAGACAGGTTAGAGACAGAGACAGGTAGACCGTCGGCTCACTTGGCATCTCAGGTAGCATCCATCCCTCCACCTTCTTACTGGGAACACTGATGACCTTCTCTGCGGCCCAGTCGCCTTTCTGAGGAAACATCAGAACTATCAGAACCTTTTGATGGTTCTGATGATGGACACCAGAACCAGATCTCCAGCTATCTCTGTTCTGGGCTCTCGGTGGTTCTGGTCCATTTCACTAGTAACATAAAAACCTTCCAACTTTATTCCAGTTTCAATCATAAATGGTTTTTAGGTGGAACCCCTCATGATGGCCGATGGACCCTCTGGTACCAGAACCTCCTGCGTTTGGACCAGAACCTCCTACAGAAGCCCGGCAGCCTCCATGACAGCGGTGGTTCTGACCGGGGTTCTGTAGAACCTGAAGACACATCCCCGCAGGGCACATCCCACGTAGCCCTCGGTGGCGTCGGGGTCGTGCAGGAAGCGGACCTCCAAAGGAATGGCGCCATCTTCTCCCAGTTCCAGAGTCTGCAGCTTCCTGTGGCTGGTCCAGTCCCAGACATGGAGGGCGGATCCGTAGAGACCTGGAACAGAACGCCGGACTGGTTTGAGTCGGTCCAGGGGTTCTGACCCACTGGGACCAGAACCGTTTACTTGATGGCACCAGAAACACGCAGGAAGCCGGGCCGTTGGGCCCAGATTGGATCTGTGAGGCGATGGCAGCACTTCCGCTAACACGCTAACAGCACAGCTAATGATTTTTAGCATCTTAGCTAACCTAGCTCCCCTGACTTTTCCAAATAAAGTTTAGTAAACTTTCAGTGAATAAATAAAGTTCAACATCTGTGTTTAAGTTTTTCTTATCAACTGAATATTTCCACTGGAAGTTAGACGTTTATATTCATGCTCTTATTTTGAAGTCTGTTTACGCAGCAGTTCCATTTCCTCTCCACAGGTTCTTCACCCAGAATGCATTGCTGCAGCTCAAGTTTAAAATGTGCGGCTGTGTTGGGCCTGCTGCTTCCACTGAACGCATCGATAGTTAATGTCATGATTGTTGCTGTTATGATTTTTATTCTTTCTGTATTTATCATCTAAAATCATTAACAGAAAATGACTAGTTGTCGAGAGAACACAAGAAAATAATTATTCTTACAGTCTAAGTATAAAAAATGCAAATGAACATTCAACTTAAAATCAGTCGGGCTCAAACTTTGATGATCAGCTTTTCTTAACCTAACTTTTATTTTCTGATTTAAATCTTGTTCAAAGTGTCCAGATAGAAGTTGTACACCAGTTCAAACTTTTAACTATTTGCAAAAAACTGGGCCCTAAAAAGCAAACATGATCGAACTGCAACTTCATCAATCGTCACTCTTCTCCACCTCCTGTCAGTTTCTGCTGCTGCAGCTCCGTGCTGCCTTCAGGAGAATGGGACATCACAGTATCATCCACATAATTTCACCCACGCGCCATTAATGTGCAAACCAGAACTTTGAGGGGAAAAATAAAAGTTCCAGATCCTTTTAATGCCAGAGAAATATTGAACAGAAACATGGATTATATCTTTAGATCTGTCTATTGATTTAAAGTTAATAAATCAATAGACAGGTCAGAGATTACAAAGAACAAAGCTGGTTCTTAATCCAGTGTTATGGAGTCACTGAACGGCATCATGACATTAACACTAACATAAAAAATAATACTGAAGAAATTATGAAATAAAATATAATTTAAAACATAAGTACTAAGTTTCCTACTGTTTTCTCAGTAAAATATATCTCTTGTTAGAACTGGTTGTGGTCCCAACAAACAAATGGCAAAATATTATTTTACCTTTTATGTGAAAATAGTGTCTGTCTGTTCGGTATTAATTATTGCTCGAAAGGTCTTGCCATACAAGTTTATTCCTCTATTTAGTTTAGTTTCTTAGTTTATTTTTGCATTTTGTTCATTGTTCATTTCCATTTAGTTGCCTTCTATTCATTTGATCCTTTCTTGGTTTATTGTCCTCTTTAGTTTTATTTTATTGTTTTTATTGACCTGCTGTTCTTCAGGTTACCAGTAGCTGTTGGTTTTACGTGCCTCCATTAAGATTCAGACTACCGATCTTCTGTTTGACTTATAATAAAGTCATTTATTATCAGAAAAATGTCTTTTGTCTTGCCATTTTTCATAGATCCATATAAATCCGACATCAATCAAAATCAAGGACAGTAGAAAACTGTTTGCCTCTGTGTTATTACGCCCCTGGTGGCAATAAGATGAAGGTGCTCCAGCATCTTCCCTCCTCCTCCTGATCCTGATCCTGATCTGCCCTCAGAGAATCAGGATTCTCTGATCTTGATTCAATCTGGTCCGTTGTTCTGCTCTATGTCCCGATTCTCCTGTTTCTGAGTTTTGCGGGGTTTTGTTTTTTGCTGTGGAGGAGCGAATCGATGGGAAAAGCAGAGCGACGTAAACCTGTGCTGCTACCGGACGGCTTACCGCACCGACGCTAACTAAATGAACGCTCTGTATTGTGGAATCACCCACTCAGGGATTTCTTTATTAAACGGGTTCATTTTTCAGGGTTTGTGATTTTAGTAATCACGTTTATCAGAATCAAGCACCTTCATCTTATTGCCACCAGGGGGCGTAAAAAACACAGAGGAAAACAGTTTTCTACTGTTCTAACAGAGCAACATTTCGTTGTCCTTCACCTGATGCGGTGAAGCCACCAGTAGCAGGAGGACGGAGCTGCGCCAAGAAGATAACAGAAGCTAATGGATACTAACACAAGCTAATGGAAGCTAACAGAAGCTAATGGAAGCTAACACAAGCTAATTGAAGCTAATGGAAGCTAACAGAAGCTAATGGACGCTAACACAACCTAATGGAAGCTAACAGAAGCTAAGACAAGCTAATAGAAGCTAACAGAAGCAAACAAAAGCTAATGGAAGGTAACAGAAGCTAATGGAAGATAACAGAAGCTAATGGAAGCTAACACAAGTTAAGGGAAGCTAATGGAAGCTAACAAAAGCTAATAGAAGCTAACAGAAGCTAATGAAAACTTACTGAAGCTAATGCAAGCTAACAGAAGCTAATGGATGCTAACAGAAGCAAACACAAGCTAATGGAAGCTAACAGAAACACTGACAAGAAGAACTGCCATTTATACAGTTACATTATGTTACACAGCTCTTTTTAGCAAGTAGCTCAAAGTGTGAACTGATATTGTTGTCATTTAAGGTGTAAAGTTTACCTTCAACCAAACGCTCCCAAAGGAATCGCAGCGCTCCCTATGCAAATATTTCTGCTGCCCTTTGTTGCCCCCCGGGGGCGGTACCACCCGTTGAGAAACGCTATTTTAAGGAGATGTAGAAGTAGCTATTAGTGCTTTAACGTTATCCACCATATGTCAGCAGAAGCTAAGAGCTACTTTGCTGTTAGCTTCTGTTGAATAACTTCTTGATAAACTGCTTTGGGATAATGATGGCAAATGGCAGAAATGGCCTCCAGAAAAGACTGGAGGATCAGTCTTTTCTGGAGGTCAGAACCAGAACCAGAAGACCAGTTAAACCAGTCTGATATTGGGGCTCCACTGGACATTGTAGTTACTCACCAGGATGTCTGCCCTTCAACAAACTCTCTCTTCACCACCAACCTTACAAAGACTGGCTGTAAGGTTGGTGGAAATAAGCAGAGTCCTAACAACCACTGCCACTGGTGGCGCTATAGCTCCCCTGGAAATATTTTAACATTTTTATTTGTACTTGTGGCATTTTCATTAAAATACACAAACCTTTAAAAAACATTGTTCAAAAAAATCCTGCACCACTTTTTGTATTTTGCTATTATCACTTCCGGGAAAAAATCGACGTGGCGCCGGCGAGGAGCAACCCTCCCCCGATCACTGCAGGGCGTTTGGGTCGCAATGCGTCTCAAAGTACACGAGTTATCTAGATGAACCGACCTCACAGCAACCCGTTTACAGCAACCATTATCTATCCCGACAGCCAGAACATCTGAACCGGATTACAACTCAGTACATTTCCAAAACCAAAAAGGAGTCTGGCGTAACGCAAGATGTGGACGGCGGTCAACAGCTGACCTCATGTCCAAACTGAGCGAAGGATGGGAACTGCCGTCAGTCAGCACCGACCTGATCAACATCAGGACACTTGTTGATGTCAAATCAAACTCATAAGATGTTAATTAGGCAAATAAACACAAGTAAAGAAAAGCAAAATGACGATATGATCCTTTGTGACGTCACTGTCTTCAAACTCCTGCTCCATCATGACGGAAATCAAAACAACCAAACCTGTATGGAGACAAACTGGCTTCAATATTATTCAATCGAAAACAAAATCATGTCAAACAAAAAAAATTTAATTGTGATCAATGTTTTGGATTGTCAAAAAAAAAAAAAAAAACTTTAAAATCTTTTAAATTGTAAGAATAATTTTTTAACAAAAAAATGTTTTAAAGCTTTTTTCTTGAATTTAAATCACTCATATTTGTTGCAAATTTTTATTTACGAATGCCAGGAATTTTTTAATGCTCCCTTTTTCTTGGTTGAATGAGCAACTGTGGCTGTGTGCAGGGCCGGACTTAGGGGGATGTGGGCCCCTGGGTTGAGCCAAGCTGTGGGCCCCTCTTCATCATTGTTATACGGTTGCATATATATATATATATATATATATATATATATATATATATATATATATATATATATATATATATATATAAAAAGCTGGACTCAAGGACAGCACAGAGGCCCTCATCCTGGCCGCCCAGGAACAGGCCTAAACACCAGAGCAATAGAGGCCCAGATCTACCACACCAGACAAGACCCAAGGTGTAGGTTGTGCAAGGAGGCCCCTGAGACAGTCCAGCACATCACAGCAGGGTGCAAGATACTGGCAGGGAAAGCGTACATGGAACGACATAACCAAGTGGCAGGCATAGTGTACAGAAACATCTGTGCAGAATATGGACTGGAAACCCCGAGATCAAAGTGGGAAACACCCCCAAAGGTGGTGGAGAATGCAGAGCTAAGATCCTGTGGGACTTCCAGATCCAGACAGACAAAATGGTAATGGCGAACCAACCAGACATTGTCGTAGTGGATAAACATCAGAGGAAAGCCGTTGTGGTAGATGTAGCAATACCAAGTGATTGCAACATCAGGAAAAGGAGAAACTGGAGAAATACCAGGGCCTCAGGGAGGAACTGGAGAGGACTGGAAGGTGAAGACCACAGTGGTGCTGTGGTCATCGGGGCCTCGGGGCAGTAACCCCCAAACTGGAGCAGTGGCTACAACAGATCCCAGGAACAACATCAGATATCTCAGTCCAGAAATGTGCAGTCCTTGGCACAAGATACTGCAGGACCCTCAAGCTCCCAGGCCTCTGGTAGAAGATATATAGATCTATATATAGATCTATATATAGATCTATATATCCTCTGGTAGAGGACCCGAGCTCAGAGGATATAGATCTATACATATATAGATATAGATCTATATATGTATAGATATATATCTATATCTATATATATATAGATCTATATATTTAGATATATATCTATATATCCTCTGGTAGAGGACCCGAGCTCAGAGGATAAGAACCACCCGCGGTGGGTGAGAAGGGAATTTTTATATATATATATATATATATATATAAAAAATTAAAAATTGTGCTAAAATAATAATGAATAAGTATGGAGCAGCTAAAGTAGCACAGCTAACATAGACATCAGCTCCCACGAATAGAAAAATATGAGGAGGACATCGTGTCAAACTACCAGAAATATAAAACGTGATCTGGAATCATTTAAAAGTTCTTTGTCTCATTTAATGGGAGACCAAAGTGTGCTGGTTTCATGTCTGAGGCAGACCACCAGGACGCTCATTTTGTTTAACTGCCTGTTTTCTGCCACCTAGTGGTCGTTTTTTTAAACCATGATGCACAATATATCTATTAACATTTTTTTGCATTATAAAGAAGTGGAGAGATATTCCGTTATCCAACAAATTAACATCTTTGTCACTTCGGCACAGCACAGTCAAAGGATGAGGACACCAACTCAGAGCAGAAATCAGATGACCAGCTTTCCACCAGCATTTAACGCACCACGGCTCATGAATATCAGGCTGTCTGGAGTGTGAAATGAGTCAAAAAGTCCTCGTCCACTAACCGGTTCTGTCTGAGCTCATCAGGCGACTCCTGATGACCTCTGCAGACCCAGGAGAAGGTCTGGATTCACAATTATCACATTTGTAAGGTTGTAGTTGAAAAGTCTATGTGTAGAAATTTAGCGTTTGTAGAAATTGTAATTACGTATGTGTACTTTATTTTATGTTCATAATGTCTTCATATTTGTGACCTCATATTTACAAGATCCCAGTTATGCACACATTTTCATTTCACGGTTTACTCATCATGTCTCACAACCGTCCAAAGTTAAGCACAGGAATGTGAATGGATTACAAATCCAGTCAGACACACACTGGTATTCTGAGACTATTGCCACTGATCAGAGGCCAAAAACAGAGTCAGTCAAAACGACAGCTGCAGATACAGGTGGACAGAAAAGCTCCAGGAAGCTGAAGCTGCTGTCATCATAGCGATGGATCCCTCTGAAGGCTCCCTGCGGTGATGAATGATGCTCTGCTCTCGATCTACAGCTATTATTATCTTTAATGAATTAAAACTATTCAATAAAAGATACAATAAATGAATACAATTGAAATAAATGGGTTAATTATTTATGGAGTGAAAACAATGTCTGTGTGTGTGTAATACTGGATGTGTAACTTGTGTAAGCATCTTTGTGTGTAACTTTGGATACACACATACTTGTGACATCACTAGCGATGCCAGAGTGTCTTAAAGAGACACCATTACGGCTGTTACCAGACCACTGACCTTCCTTGACGTGGCTGGGTTGAAGCCGTGGACCAGCGCTTTGGGCGCCCCCCCACTCGGTGCTGATCATCACATTGTGGCGGGGCTGGTACCAGAAGTCGTAGCCGAACGGCGCCGCCTCACCTGGATGCTCCCAGTTACCGATCACCTCAAACGTCTCACCGTCCAGCAGGACAAAGCCCCCTGCAACAGCAGCAGTTACCACCACCGTCCAGCAGAGGGCAGCAGCTTGTGATCCTCTCTGTGGGTTCAAGCCTCACCTTTACCGCCACCTGCTGGCTCTCCCATGCAGCTGATCATGATCTGGTCGCTGGCCAGGCAGTGGCTGGTGTGAGGTTGGCCAGGCCGCACTTCCAGTACAGATCGATGGGCTCCACCGTCTGGAACCCGCAAAGAAGCAAATACTTAGTTAGCGAGCTAAATACTTAGCTTAATAAATCTCAATTAGAAATTTCAATAGTTATGAGGAAGATAGCTAAATAACTAGTTACAAACTGAGTTTCTACATAAGCTGACTGGCTACATATTTAGCTTACAAACAACATTTAACTTGCTAACTAAAGGTTTAGTTCAAGTTCAATATTTAAAGTTGAGTGAATAACATTCATTTAAAAACCAACTTTTTCCCTCATTCCAGGCTAATTAAACCAAATTATTACTGTTCATCTTTGACTGTAACTTCAGAAAAAGCATAAATAACCATGTGGGGACAGGAAGGATTCGTATCTTTGGACCGGATCCCAAACAGAACCGCTTTGCTGTTTTCACTGTCTGCCTCTACAGCCACTGTAATGCCACGGCGACACCAGCAGGGGGCAGTAGAGTCACCTCTACGTCCATGAAACCCTAGAATATCAGTGTGGGCTCAGAACCGTCTGGGTTCAGAACCGTTCAGAACCGTCTGGGCTCAGAACCGTCTGGGTTCAGAACCGTTCAGAACCGTCTGGGCTCAGAACCGTCTGTGTTCAGAACCGTCTGTGTTCAGAACCGTCTGTGTTCAGAACCGTCTGGGCTCAGAACCGTCTGGGTTCAGAACCGTCTGGGTTCAGAACCGTTCAGAACCGTCTGGGTTCAGAACCGTCTGGGTTCAGAACCGTTCAGAACCGTCTGGGTTCAGAACCGTTCAGAACCGTCTGGGCTCAGAACCGTCTGGGCTCAGAACCGTCTGGGCTCAGAACCGTTCAGAACCGTCTTGGCTCAGAACCGTCTGGGTTCAGAACCGTTCAGAACCGTCTGGGCTCAGAACGTCTGGGCTCAGAACCGTCTGGGTTCAGAACCGTCTGGGCTCAGAACGTCTGGGTTCAGAACCGTTCAGAACCGTCTGGGTTCAAAACCGTCTGGGCTCGGAACCGTCTGGGTTCAGAACCGTCTGGGCTCAGAACCGTTCAGAACCGTCTGGGTTCAGAACCGTCTGGGCTCTGAACCGTCTGGGCTCAGAACCGTCAGAACCGTTCAGAACCGTCTGGGTTCAAAACGTCTGGGCCCGGAAACCGTCTGGGTTCAGAACCGTCTGGGTTCAGAACCGTTCAGAACCGTCTGTGTTCAGAAACCGTTCAGAACCGTCTGGCTCAGAACCGTTCAGAACCGTCTGGGTTCAGAACCGTCTGGGCTCTGAACGGTTCAGAACCGTCTGGGTTCAGAACCGTCTGGGTTCAAAACCGTCTGGGTTTTGAACCCAGACGGTTCAAAACCGTCTGGGTTCAGAACCGTTCAGAACCGTCTGGGTTCAGAACCGTCTGGGTTCAGAACCGTCTGGGTCAGAACCGTTCAGAACCGTCTGGGTTCAGAACCGTCTGGGTTCAGAACGTCTGGGCTCAGAACCGTTCAGAACCGTCTGGGTTCAGAACCGTCTGGGCTCAGAACCATCTGGGTTCAGAACCGTCTGGGTTCAGAACCGTCTGGGCTCAGAACCGTCTGGGTTCAGAACCGTATGGGCTCTGAACCGTCTGGGCTCAGAACCGTTCAGAACCGTCTGGGTTCAGAACGTTGGGCTCACAACCGTTCAGAACCGTCAGTGTTCAGAACCGTCTGGGTTCAGAACCGTCTGGGTTCAGAACCGTGGCTCAGAACCGTTCAGAACCGTCTGGGCTCTGAACCGTCTGGGTTCAGAACCGTCTGGGTTCAGACCGTCTGGACTCAGAACCGTTCAGAACGTCGGGTTCAGAACCGTCTGGGTTCAGAACCGTCTCGGTCAGAACCGTTCAGAACCGTCTGGGTTCAGAACCGTCTGGGCTCAGAACCATCTGGGTTCAGAACCGTCTGGGCTCAGAACCGTCTGGGCTCAGAACCGTTCAGAACCGTCTGGGTTCAGAACCGTTCAGAACCGTCTGGGCCAGAACCGTCTGGGTTCAGAACCGTCTGGGCTCAGAACCGTTCAGAACCGTCTGGGCTCAGAACCGTCTGGGTTCAGAACCGTCTGGGCTCTGAACCGTCTGGGTTCAGAACCGTCTGGGCTCAGAACCGTTCAGAACCGTCTGGGTTCAGAACCGTCTGGGTTCAGAACCGTCTGGGCTCAGAACCGTTCAGAACCGTCTGGGTTCAGAACCGTCTGGGCTCTGAACCGTCTGGGTTCAGAACCGTCTGGGTTCTGAACCGTCTGGGCTCAGAACCGTTCAGAACCGTCTGGGTTCAGAACCGTCTGGGTTCAGAACCGTCTGGGCTCTGAACCGTCTGGGTTCAGAACCGTCTGGGCTCTGAACCGTCTGGGTTCAGAACCGTTCAGAACCGTCTGGGCTCAGAACCGTCTGGGCTCAGAACCGTTCAGAACCGTCTGGGTTCAGAACCGTCTGGGTTCAGAACCGTCTGGGCTCAGAACCGTTCAGAACCGTCTGGGTTCAGAACCGTCTGGGTTCAGAACCGTCTGGGTTCAGAACCGTCTGGGTTCAGAACCGTCTGGGTTCAGAACCGTCTGGGTTCAGAACCGTTCAGAACCGTCTGGGCTCAGAACCGTCTGGGCTCAGAACCGTTCAGAACCGTCTGGGTTCAGAACCGTCTGGGTTCAGAACCGTCTGGGCTCTGAACCGTCTGGGCTCAGAACCGTCTGGGTTCAGAACCGTCTGGGCTCAGAACCGTCTGGGCTCAGAACCGTTCAGAACCGTCTGGGTTCAGAACCGTCTGGCTCAGAACCGTTCAGAACCGTCTGGGTTCAGAACCGTCTGGGTTCAGAACCGTCTGGGTTCAGAACCGTTCAGAACCGTCTGGGTTCAGAACCGTCTGGGTTCAGAACCGTTCAGAACCGTCTGGGCTCAGAACCGTCTGGGCTCAGAACCGTTCAGAACCGTCTGGGTTCAGAACCGTCTGGGTTCAGAAACCGTCTGGGCTCTGAACCGTCTGGGCTCAGAACCGTCTGGGTTCAGAACCGTCTGGGCTCAGAACCGTTCAGAACCGTCTGGGTTCAGAACCGTCTGGGCTCTGAACCGTTCAGAACCGTCTGGGTTCAGAACCGTCTGGGCTCAGAACCGTCTGGGTTCAGAACCGTCTGGGTTCAGGAATTTTTAGCAACAGATGTTTATTTTCTCTCCAACATCAACAAGTTAAACTGGAATATTTTCTGTTTTTACTACTAGAGTTAAAGATCTGCAATGAACTCTGCATGAACCTGAGCCTCTTCCTCCTCCTCTTCCTCCTCTTCCTCCTCCTCTTCCTCCAACTCTTCCTCCTCCTCTTCTTCCTCTTCCTCCTCCTCCTGTTTTCTGTGTTATCGTTTTAAGATCCAGCTGAACTCTGCATGTTTTCATTTCTGTTCGTCTGTTTTCTACATTATTTTCTTTCATTCATAGTTTTGTTCATCTATTTCGTCTGCAGGTTTCCTGACCTCTACATGACCTCCAGCAGGTCATGTAGAGGTCAGCAGCGTGTGCGGCTGCTGACCTTGTGGATCCGCGGCGCTCTGGGCTCGGTTCCCACATCGATCACGTAGATCCGGGAGGAGATGAGCGACGGCAGGATGAGCCGGTTCCGGGTTCGGGTCGGGTCGCCGAAGCAGCTGCTGCAGGCGTTCCAACCAGAGTGATGCAGCTCATCGTTCAGGTTCGGCATCGGCAGGCGGTGGATCACCTGCAGACGGGTCGGGTTAGATACTCTGGACCCAACAGAACCATCAGAAGAAACAGAACCAACAGAACCATCAGAACCAAACAGAACCATCGGAACCAACAGAACCAAACAGAACCATAGGAAACAACAGAACCATCAGAACCAACAGAACCATCGGAACCAACAGAACCAACAGAACCATCGGAACCAACAGAACCATCAGAACCAACAGAACCAAACAGAACCATCAGAACCAACAGAACCATCAAAACCAACGGAACAATCGGATCCAAAAGAACCATCAGAACCAACAGAACCATCAGAACCAACAGAACCATCAGAACCAACAGAACCAAACAGAACCAACAGAACCATCAGAACCAACAGAACCATCGGAAACAACAGAACCATCAGAACCAACAGAACCAAACAGAACCAACAGAACCATCAGAACCAACAGAACCATCAGAACCAACAGAACCAAACAGAACCATCAGAACCATCAGAACCAACAGAACCGCCAGAACCAAACAGAACCAACGGAACCAACAGAACCAAACAGAACCATCAGAACCAACAGAACCATCAGAACCAACGGAACAATCGGATCCAAAAGAACCATCAGAACCAACAGAACCAAACAGAACCAACAGAACCAACGGAACCAACAGAACCAACGGAACCATCGGAACCAACAGAACCAACGGAACCATCAGAACCAACAGAACCATCAGAACCAACAGAACCATCGGAACCAACAGAACCAACAGAACCATCGGAACCAACAGAACCATCAGAACCATCAGAACCAACAGAACCAAACAGAACCATCAGAACCAACAGAACCATCAAAACCAACGGAACAATCGGATCCAAAAGAACCAACAGAACCAACAGAACCATCAGAACCAACAGAACCATCGGAAACAAGAACCATCAGAACCAACAGAACCAAACAGAACCAACAGAACCATCAGAACCAACAGAACCATCAGAACCAACAGAACCAACAGAACCATCAGAACCATCAGAACCAACAGAACCATCGGAACCAACAGAACCAACGGAACCATCAGAACCAACAGAACCGCCAGAACCAAACAACAAGAAAACCAACAGAAAAAAAACAGAACCAACGAACCAACAGAACCAAAGAACCATCAGAACCAACAGAACCATCAGAACCAACGGAACAACGGAACCAAAAGAACCATCAGAACCAACAGAACCAAACAGAACCAACAGAACCAACGGAACCAACAGAACCAACGGAACCATCGGAACCAACAGAACCAACAGAACCATCGGAACCAACAGAACCAACGGAACCATCAGAACCAGAACCAACAGAACCAACAGAACCAACAGAACCATCGGAACCAACAGAACCAACGGAACCATCAGAACCAACAGAACCAAACAGAACCAACAGAACCAACAGAACCAACAGAACCACAGAACCATCGGAACCAACAGAACCATCGGAACCAACAGAACCAACGGAACCATCAGAACCAACAGAACCAAACAGAACCAACAGAACCAAACAGAACCATCTGAACCAACAGAACCATCAGAAACAACAGAACTAACAGAACCATCAGAACCATCGGAACTAACAGAACCATCAGAACCAAACAGAACCAACAGAATCATCGGAACCAACAGAACCATCAGAACCATCGGAACTAACAGAACCATCAGAACCAACAGAACCATCAGAACCATCAGAAACAACAGAACCATCAGAACCATCAGAACCAACAGAACCAAACAGAACCAACAGAACCATCGGAACCAACAGAACCATCAGAACCATCAGAACCAAACAGTACCATCAGAACCATCAGAACCAACAGAACCATCAGAACCAACGGAACCATCAGAACCAACAGAACCAACAGAACCATCGGATCCAAAAGAACCATCAGAACCATCAGAACCAAACAGAACCATCGGAACCATTGGAACCAACAGAACCATCGGAACCAACAGAACCAACAGAACCATCAGAACCAAACAGAACCATCAGAACCAACAGAACCAACAGAACCATCAGAACCAACAGAACCAACAGACCATCAGAACCAACAGAACCATCAGAACCAACAGAACCAAACAGAACCAACAGAACCATCAGAACCATTGGAACCAACAGAACCATCAGAAACAACAGAACCATCAGAACCAACAGAACCAAACAGAACCAACAGAACCATCGGAACCAACAGAACCATCAGAACCAACAGAACCATCGGATCCAAAAGAACCATCAGAACCATCAGAACCAACAGAACCAAACAGAACCAACAGAACCATCGGAACCAACAGAACCATCAGAACCAACAGAACCATCGGAACCAACAGAACCATCAGAACCAACAGAACCATCGGAACCATTGGAACCAACAGAACCATCAGAACCAACAGAACCATCAGAACCAACAGAACCATCGGATCCAAAAGAACCATCAGAACCATCAGAACCAACAGAACCAACAGAACCAACAGAACCATCGGAACCAACAGAACCATCAGAACCAACAGAACCATCGGAACCAACAGAACCATCAGAACCAACAGAACCATCGGAACCATTGGAACCAACAGAACCATCAGAACCAACAGAACCAACAGAACCATCAGAACCAACGGAACCAACAGAACCATCAGAACCAACAGAACCATCAGAACCATCAGAACCAACAGAACCAAACAGAACCAACAGAACCATCGGAACCAACAGAACCATCAGAACCAACAGAACCATCGGAACCAACAGAACCATCAAACCAACAGAACCATCGGAACCATTGGAACCAACAGAACCATCAGAACCAACAGAACCATCAGAACCAACGGAACCAACAGAACCATCAGAACCAACAGAACCATCAGAACCATCAGAACCAACAGAACCAAACAGAACCAACAGAACCATCAGAACCATTGGAACCAACAGAACCATCAGAACCATCGGAACCAACAGAACCATCAGAACCAACAGAACCATCAGAACCATCGGAACCAACAGAACCATCAGAACCAACAGAACCATCAGAACCATCAGAACCAACAGAACCAAACAGAACCAACAGAACCATCAGAACCATTGGAACCAACAGAACCATCAGAACCAAACAGTACCATCAGAACCATCAGAACCAACAGAACCAAACAGAACCAACAGAACCATCAGAACCATCGGAACCAACAGAACCATCAGAACCAACAGAACCATCAGAACCATCAGAACCAACAGAACCAACAGAACAACCATAACCATCAGAACATTGGAACCAACAGAACCATCAGAACCAAACAGTACCATCAGAACCATCAGAACCAGAACCATCAGAACCAACGGAACCATCAGAACAGAACCAACAGAACCATCGGATCCAAAAGAACCATCAGAACCATCAGAACCATCAGAACCAAACAGAACCATCGGAACCAACAGAACCATCAGAACCATTGGAACCAACAGAACCATCGGAACCAACAGAACCAAACAGAACCATCAGAACCAACGGAACCAACAGAACCATCGGAACCAACAGAACCAAACAGAACCAACAGAACCATCAGAACCAAACAGAACCAACAGAACCATCAGAACCATTGGAACCAACAGAACCAACAGAACCAACAGAACCATCAGAACCATCGGAACTAACAGAACCATCAGAACCAAACAGAACCATCAAAAGCATTGGAACCGACCAAAACAAACAGAACCAACAGGAGTTTTGGGAGAAAAACAGAATCAGTGAGAAGACACAAGGCAGACGAGTCCATCAGAACTGGACTGCTGGACTTGTGGTTCTGGTCGGGTTCTACCTGGCAGTACGTGGGCGACTCCGGGTCGACGTCCACTGTGGCCAGGTAGTCGGGCTTCTGGACCGCGGTGCTGCGGTAGATACAGGGCAGGTAGACGATCCGCTCACGGGGGCCTGCGGGCAGAACCAGAACCCGTACAGGTATTTTTCCTATTGAACTTTCTGGTTTGACTGTTTGGTTTGTTTGGACTTCCAGTACCAGAACCAGAGTGCTGACCTGGTTCTGGCCCGGTCCAGACGTCCACTCACCCTTCATGGCGTCCAGCGGGCTGCGGTATCCGGGTCCACATCCTGAACATGCGGCTGAAACACACAAACGGATCCAGAAGCATAACCAGACGCTGCAGCACAGGCCTCTACTGGGTTAAGATCAATGATTAACATGAACTCTACTGAGCATGCTCAGAAGGCCCAGAAACAACCACAGGAGATACAAACGGAGTCAGAATCTGAACAGAACCGGCTTCTTCGGGCCTCAGGCGGCTCTCACAAAAGGGTTATATAACACACACACCACACACACACACACACACACACACACACACACACACACGCACACACACACACAAACACACAGGCACACAACTTCCCCCAAAACATCCTGGCTTTTCTTCATGGAAAACTACCAAGGTCCAGATTCCCTGGCTCAGTCTGGAAAACACACACACACACTCACACACACACACTCACACACACACACACAGACACACACACAGAGGTCCAGAACCAGGAATGTGAACCCTCCTGGTGGCTTGAAGCTGAAATTCCCCAGCTTCCTTGAAGGAGGCATGCTGATGTTTTACAGCTAGACGATTATTGATTATTGATCAGATATTTTGTGGTTAACAGCTGCAGCAGATCAGGTGAGTAGCAGCCAATCAGAACGCAGCATGCTGAACCCAACTCACCCATGTTGGATCTTCTGGTTCCGATTCCTGCGGTTCTGACCCGTCTGCTGGCTGTGCAGGTCTGGGTGCTGTGGAGCCAGTGGGCGGAGCTGGCGCGTTGAGTAGCAGGAAGCAGCCAATCAGAAAGGAGGGGTGGGGCATAGAGGCCTTTGGCTCTCCAGCTGCTGGAACAGCGCGCCCCCCGCAGGCTGACAGAGGAACTGCCTGTAAGGCAGGCTGAGGAAGGAGCCTGGTACCGCAGGAGGTCCGGTTTGAGGTTCTGCTTCACATCCGGTCAGAACTTCTACATGAGCAGAGCAAACAACAGCATAAATATCCATAAGCAATAAGAGGTCAGACTGAAATGATGAACAGAAACGGATCCAATCACTGATCATGTGATCACCGATCGATCAGTTATTCTAACTAAATGAAATCAGGTTGCTATGGCAACCACCAACTTATTGACTACACAAAATAAATTCAAAGAAGAAATAAATTTTGGACAAACTTCGCATCGACTGGAACCATAAAATTAATATCATGAAGTTGATTTAAAGCAATAATTTCATTCAAAAAGTGAAACTTGTATATCACATATACTGTATATATATTTGTTACACAGGCTGATATATTGCTAATGTTTTTTTCTTTAATGTTGATAATTAGAAGTGACAACTCATGAAAACCCCAAATTCAGAAAGTTCAGAGTATTAATGAAGACCAAAGCAAAACAAGGAGTTTTAGAAATGTTAGCCAACAGGAAGGTGTGACGATGTTCACCTCAGTGCTGGTTTACTGCGGCCATGCTTCTTTCCAAAGAATCTGATCTGGTTCTGTTCACTTCGCTGCTTGTGACTCAATGTTGGCGGAAAAAAGCTGAATCCGTGAAAGGATTTTCAAAATAAAAGATCCTCCAGACTCAAATGATACAGAAAACAAAAATATTTCATTATTTCTTGTGGCCCGGTACCAATTGGTCTGTGGACTGGTACCGGGCCACAGCCTGGGTTTGGGAACTGCTGTTGTACACCATATTGAAATCTCCTCCCAATATGAAATTGTTTGTGGAATATTCTGAGATGGTTCTTTTAATGACTAGTTAATTCAGACAATAAGGACTTATTCTGAGCATCACTGTTTGTAACCATAGACGTTACAGAGAATCAGAAAACTAGTTTCCATTTTGAGTTCACAAATATCCAGTGGCCCCGGTTGTCTTTTCTGTGAGTTTCTAGTTTATTCTGGAAATTTTGAAACAGTAAAGCAACACCAGCAGATTTATTGGAACCATGAGACAAAATTATTTCCCCCCCATTGATTAGACCAAAGTTCTCATCTGCCTCAATGGAGTGTTTTCTTGTAAAACATGCAGTTAGCTTTTGCATTTTTTACAAAAAAGAAATATTGATTTTCTTTTAACACCATCTCTCAAACCCGTAACATTTAAAGACACAAAGTTAAAATGAGAAAAAACACAGAAAAGTGAGAGGTTACTGAACGTCTGGTGTTCAGGAAAAGGTAAGAATGAAGCACCGACTCCCTTCCACTGACCTCTGACCAGATAAGGAGATCAGAATGTATTCATCAAACCTGTGAATGCTTAACTTTACCTTATTTATTAATCTGGCCTATTTAATCTAAAAAAAACTTTAGAAATAAAGAATACATTTTCCTTGAAGCATAAAGCAGCAGCTTGTGTCTGTGCAGTGGTGATTCCTGCATTACCTCAGGATGTCCAGTCGGGGGTCCTGGCCTAACCCTACCCTAACCCAGGATGTGTCCTGGCAGTGGACGTGTTTCCTCCGTTCTGGCTGGATCCATTTTGGGCCGGACTGCAGCTCTTGTTTGCAGGATGCCAGCTCCTTTTGGTGAGTTTCCAGAAGCATCTCGGTGGTTCTCAACCCAACCAGTAACGAGGCCCGGTGCAGCGCATCTTGGCTAAGATGTCAATGACTTCTTTGCCAGTATCTTGGTTATTTTTTTCTTTAAAGTCTGAATTTTAAATTCCAACAGCGTTTCTATCGTTCTAGTTCCCACAATCTTTCCTTCATCTCCGCAGGAGCCTCTTTCCAGCCAGATAGTTAGTTTTTCAGTCTCTCATATCAGCTGCGTTCACTTTGGCTAGCTTAGAGACGTTAGCAACCGCCATCATGTTGTCACCACCACCCCGCGCCACTAGAGGCAGTATCAGGCCCGAAAAGATGCGACTGAGGAGATTCAGAAGCTTACTGTTAAAACTTCACTAAGTAAAAAAATAGATAAAAGTTCAAATACAAGCTGAGAGTGAAAATCCTTCCTAAAGATGAAAATATATCACAGATTTCAAAGGAAAACAGAAATGGGAGCATAATATAGGAAATAGCGCCCCCTTCACTTCCGGAGTGCAACAGTCCCATTTCCATATAAGGACTGCCAGCGGTCCGTCGCCCTTCCTGTTAGCTGCAGAGGTGAACTTGGTTTGGGACACGTTTGATACTTTACATGAAAATTTATATTAGCTTTAATGAACATCAGATTCATTTCATCCCACTAACAGAATCTGTAACATCTAAGTAGCATATCCTGTTTGATAAAGCACAAATGATCATTAGTCTAATAATATGAAAATATCATTTTAAAGTACAACGTGACATGTTGCTGTTGATCTTTATCTGCCGAGTTCTCCTGTAGAACCCGGTTCTGATTCAGAGATCCAGGAAGAACTGGACTGAACCTGGAGAAAAACCCCTGGAAAATCCCGGAAATGTTTGTTTTCAGGCACAGAGAACAGGCAGCTCACCTGGACAGGTTGCTTTATTCATCATCGTGTTCTGACAACCGAAACAGGAAGTGTTCATGGTCATCTACAAAAATAACAGCAGCCAATCAGCTTCCAGGGCCACAGTGACATCATCAAAACAAAACCAGACATTAATGTTGCTCTTCCTCCTGAAGGTGAGGAAGAAGAGTAATCTTCTCTAACGCAAACATTGATCAATTCTGCAGCTACTTCCTGGTAGCAGTAGGCTTCTTCCAATCTGATGCTGCTGATCTAATTAATGATAGGCTGGAAAGAGAGTACTAGGTAGAGCTAGCTTTGGGTAGGCTAACAACTAGCATGCCTAGGCTGGTTTCCTACTTCATCTGGCCTTAGCTTATCCAGCATGGATAAGCTAACCGTAGCCTTGGATACCCTGGTGAAAGCTCTGTTTAGCATTAGCTCTAGCTAAGTAGCTTGCGTAATCTAGACTTGAACCTTTTCCACCAGACATGGATAAAAACGTTTCTCATGCATTATCTGTAAACAGCATCCATTAAATGTTACTTACACTTGCGTCATGTTTTGACAGTTTATGGTAATAACAAACAAGCAACTTGCTAGCCTTTTTAATGCTAATGCTAGCCTAGCAAATGCTAATGGACAGCAGATGAAGTAGGAAACCAGCCTAGGCATGCTAGTTGTTAGCCTACCCAAAGCTAGCTCTACCTAGTACTCTCCTTCCAGCCTATCATTGATTAGACCAGCAGCATCAGATTGGAAGTAGCCTACTGCTACCAGGAAGTAGCCTACTGCTACCAGGAAGTAGCCTACTGCTACCAGGAAGTAGCTGCAGCTGGGTGGAGAATCGCCTGCCGCTGAAACGGCGCCACTCATCTGTTCATCTAAACCTGGTTCTGAAGGTTCTAATGACCCATTTTGATCTGAGCAGCTCAGAGTGTAAACATTCATCGTGATCTGTTCATTAGAACCTCAGGTGTGACACCTGGACCGTCTGATGGATGCTGAAGCCCCGCCCCTTTGTTTCTGATTGGATGATGGTGAACCTCAGTAATTTTTAAAGAAAAGTTCATTAAAAACAGATCGGGCAGAGCCCAGTTCTGGTTCCGGTCTAACTGACCAGCAGGCAGAAGCAGTTCCTCTGTCGGCCACTGGGGGGAACACGGGCGTTCTGAGTCACAATCGGGTCAGAACCTCAGCTGTCTTCCTCAGTTCTGGCGCCGTCGCTCCGGATCTTCCACTCGTCTCCGACTTCCTCCCCGATCTCGATCCGCGTCTCTCGTCTCTCTCTGCTCGCCTCCTTCGTCTCCTCCTGTCTCTCCTGTCCCTCCTCTTCCTCGCTGTCCTCTAGTGTCTCCCCTGCCAAGCTGTCCTCTGCGCCCGTCTCCATGTCCTCCTGTCCTCCTCTTGTCTCATGTGCAGACTCCTCCGTCTCCTCCCTGTCCTCTGTCTCCCTCCTGTCCTCCATGTCCTTGCTGCCCTCCGTCTCCTTCCTGTCCTCCGTCTTGTCCTCTTTGGACAGTGGTTTCTCCTTGGATGTCTCCTGTCCCTCTCCATCCTGGTCTTCATCCTCCTGAAGTTCAGCTGGTTCTGTTTCTGCTGCGTCTGGACCCAGGAGGATGCATGTCAGGGTTCTGATGAGTTCTGCCTGCTGGTCCTGTGGTTCCGACCCGGTTTGATCTTGCAGGAGTCCGGTCAGCTGGAAGGACGTGCTCCAGGTGTGCGGCAGGCGGCGCAGGTGCGTCATGGCGTCCAGCATCCAGTCCACCAGCATCCGGGTCACGATGTCCTGCGGCTTGTGGGTCGGGTCGTCCAGCTCTGGTTCCGGTCCGGTGGCGAACCGGGCCCATCGGGCCAGCAGGAAGCGCTGCAGCGCCGGCTTCAGGCAGACGTCCAGCGGCTGCAGGCAGAAGGAGCATCCTGCGGGGATGACGGCCGGCAGGCAGCGGGCCGCGCTCAGCGCTGTCAGGAACGGGTCGGCCAGGTGTTCCCGGTGCCGGTCCAGAACCAGCAGGGACTTCTTGGAAGGAGCCGGGCCAGACAGGTGTGGCAGCCAGACCTTGGTGGTCCAGAGGTCCACGGCGTCTTCGGCGCTCAGGCCGTCCGTCCGGACCTCCAGCAGGGCGAGGTCGGGCGGCGGCGCCTGCGGGACCGGCCGGCTGAGCAGAAGCAGCGTCGGCAGCACGGCGCCATCGGCCAGAACCGCCAGGTAGACCGTGAGCAGCGGCGTGGACCCGGACAGCTCCAGCGCCTCGTGGCGCCTGGACCGGTCCTGGACCAGCTGGAAGTCCACAAAGAGGCAGAGCTCATCCA